CTTTTATCGAGGCTGGGGTCCTCATGCTCTTCATTTAATGAACAAGGAGAGCAAAGTGTGAGGCTATGGGACAAATTATTCATCATCAGGGATGTCAAATGCTGCTCTTGTGTCTTTAACTGCCTTTTGGTACTGTTTCATTGTATCTCTCCATATTTAATAAAATACATGCAAGCCTGTTTTTTTTCCATTTTCGTTATTTCCTTCTGCAGTCTCTTTTTAGATCCTGAGTCAGTTCGTTAAGCCATGGCTGTGGAGCTCTGTTAAGGTCTTTTTGTCTTTATAGGGAGCAACAGAGTCCAGCACAGCTTGACAGGTGAGATTAAAAGAGGAGACCAGCTCCTCTGTGTTAAAATTTTGGTAAAAGGCAGTTGAAGAGACAGAAATAAAAAGCTCCTTAAACTTGCTAGCAGACGTAGAGTTAAAAACCCTGCTGCGGATAGGTGCCTTGCTAATAAAAGGTGGCTGAGATAAAACCAGTTTGTGGTCTGACACACAGACATCCTTTGTCTCAAAGTTGTTAGGGCCGAGACCACTGTATAAAACAAGAGCAAGTGTGTGGCCCTGAGAGTGAGTGGGTTCCTGTATTGCCTGAAATCACCCGTGAGGGACTGAGAGGGGCAACAGACATGTATGTTAAAATCACCTAAAACAAGGATTTTATCATACTTAGAAATCAAATGTGATAAAAACTCTGCAATAAAAACATTTTTAGGTCTGTTGATGATTAAAATGAACACAGGATCTTTTAAGTTACCAATAAAACCAAGATGCTCAAATTATGTAAAATTGGAGTGTATTTAAAATCTTTCCCCCCCTCCAAAGGGGAATCTTTGCACTTTCATATTAAACAACATGGAGGAGCGAGGAGGAGAAGCGCTCTTTCTCTTTCTGCTGGACGTAGTTTAGTTATTTAAGTGAATGATTTATGATGTCCTTTGAAGTGTACCGATATCGTCTTTCAATTAATGTTCGACAGGCTTTGAGCTGTAAAGTGTGATCCTTTCCCCTGGAGGCTAAGTGGATGTCATGCAGCGCCTCAACCTTTTCAGTCAGAAAGGAGGAGTAATGAGGGAGTAATTCCCAGATGATCATAAACCTGGAAGATCCTCTCACTAAAAAATAAAACAATCTTCTCCTCCTCTTCCTCCTCCTCCTCCTCTTCCTCCTGCTCCTCCTCATCTTCCTCCTCTTCCTCCTCCTCCTCTTCTCCTCCTCTTCTTCCTCCTCTTCCTTTTCCTCCTCCTCCTCCTCCTCCTCATCTTCCTCATCCTCCTCATCTTCCTCATCTTCCTCCTCCTCCTCTTCCTCCTACCATTTTTCTGAATCTACAGCCTCCTCATGTTTCTGAATCTGCTGCCTCGCTCTGATCTGTGTTACACATTTGAAACATTTTGTTGGAGCACTCAGTGCATGCAGGGTGTGAACTCTGCTGTGATTCATCACTCAGCAGGTTTATTTCTCTCCCCATAATTAACCTCGGTTAGTTATTAACTTTAATTAGTAAATATGACAATGCCTCTTGGTTCAGCTAGTGCTGCAGGTGCTCGTCTCTGATTGGACGGGAGCTGAGCGTTCAGAAATGTCAACTGAGAGGATTCAGGAGGTTTACGAGCACACACACGAAGAGAGTTACAGTAATCCAACCTGTAGGAAACAAATGCATGAACTAGTTTCTCTGCATTGTGATATGCCTGATTATAGAGATATTATGAAGGTGAAAATATGCTGTTCTTGAAAGGTGTTTTATGTGAAAGTTAAAGGACATATCTTGAGGTGTTTAGGATCAAGCATAATAACTTCAGTCTTCTCTCAGTTAAAGTTAAAGATCCAATCAGTAAGATGTGTTGTGAGTGAAATGATAAAGTGAGCTTACTATGTGATCAGACATTAAGGAAACATGCTATGTTGAAGTGCTGGCTTCTCTGACAGAGTATGTCCTCCTTCTAACTTTAGATTCTGGTCCTGAATGCTCTGGATTTGTTTGGACCAGAGAAGGTAGGCGGTTTTAAGACACCCCCCCATACGGCCGCTTTGGACGCCCCTCGGTTTGCCAGATATGAGAGCAGTTATCAGGTCAAACCAACAGGTGTTGCAGCGATGGAAGCGGGAAAGAGAACTGGTTCAGAAAGTGATTGTACCCGACCTAAACTCTCTACAATGAGTCCGTCCTGCTGACTGTGGGGGTTTGTTACCTCTGAGACTCTCGTCCTGCTGTTGAGGAAGTTTTAGAAACTTGACCTCACATAAAGATTCAGGAGACTCAGATGTCTTAAGTTGAAGTCGTTTATGACTCATGAGGAGAAACGGCATTAACAGCTCACGTGATCGAGAGGCCGGTTCAGTCGGGCCGTCCCGTAGACTCGGTCTCCTCCAGCTCAGGATGTCGCATGTTACCTCCTCAACCTAAAGCTTCTGACTGACACTTTAAGAATGTGAGGTCAGAGACACTAAGTCTGTAAAACAAGCCAGATATTAGGGGAGACGCTACAAAGTGACCTTGGTTGTCGTGGTAACCGTCAAGTCAAACCAAAGGAATGAGCTACGTGCATGTCTACAGAGATACAGAAACTCCATCTACGACCACATCAGAGCAGCTCGGACGAGCCCAGGCGGGACTTTTAGACAACGGGTCGGCTCAGAATCTGCTGCTCATGAATTCTGTACTCATGTCCAGTTTGTCCAAACTTGATGGTTTCTGCTTCACGAGGACAATCGGTGACTCTGGTGTCCTCCCTGACTGCACGCCATCGCCCTGCAGCTGCAGCCAGCAGATAAGAGCTGCGCTTCATCACACATAAAGAATCCTGTCATCAATTAAACATATCTCTGCTCTATGTGATAAACAGACTCCATGGAGCCACCACACCAACCTCATGTTAGAAGTTGATAATGAGAAACACAAAGTGCACTGTCAGCCTCTCAGAGGTCGTGAGGAATAAAGAACAGGACAGAATAAACTTTATATAACCCCCCCCCCCCCCCAGAGTAAAGGTCTCTCTGATTCAGGACGTTCAGCAGCTGTTTCAGTCCAAAACAAACTGAGGACTCTGCGTTCCTCACACAGAACACATGATCCAGGTCAATCGATAATAATATGTTGACCTTTGACCTGTGTCAACACCGGAGAAAAACTTCATTCAGCTTAACTTCGCCTACTGACCAATCAGGTCTCTTCATCGAAGCACCATCGATGAGCCAGAAAACAAAGAATCCAAAAATGTTCTGCAGCCTCACCTTCTACACGCCCGAGTGTTCCCCTGACAGCCTTTTATTATCAAAGTTAATTGCTAACCATGACAATTATGAGAAGAGAAGTAAACCTGCTGAGTCAGGAATCAGAGCAGAGTTCACCCCCTGTATGATCACACTCAAACATTTAATTTAGGGAGAAATGAAACTCCAGTCTGCAGCTGGAACACGTTTCACTGAATCAGAGTTCACAGCCTGCATGATCACCCTGATACAGGAAGTTTCAAACAAAGATCAGAGCCAGGCTGCATACTCTTCAGAAACAGGAAGTCAGAGAAACAAACAAACCAGTGGCCGACACTGACGGGGTAATCTGAATCTGTCCCCCCACAGAATGTGAGAGTGTGTGAGTGTGTGTGAGAGTGTGAGAGTGTGTATGTGTGTGTGTGTGTGTGAGAGAGTGTGTGAGAGTTTCACACACACTCACACACTCTCACACTCACAAGTGTGTCACAAGTTAGTAACATTTTGCACGGATCAATGATTTATCTGTTGAAGTTAACTTAGCTTGTTATGGATAGATGATAGTAACATCTGTGTTTACTAATTCCTAATCAATATCTTGAGTTAACATCATTTATTTCCACTGTACATTGATTAGATAAAGATTATTCTTTTTAAGAAAATAATCAGTGTAAGTAATACACTTCTTATCTTATCACTTCTTATCTTCCTCTCCTGAGTTGCATATATCATATATCAAACTGTATTGTGGGCTCATGTTTTTTGTATGGGTGGGATATGTATGTATATATGTGTTGTGTTGTGTGTTTGTATGTATGCTGGCTGCTGGAACACCTAAATTTCCCTGCTGGGATGAATAAAGTATATCTTATCTTATCTTATCTTATATGTTGTTGGACACAAAACCTACTTTTATATTTTTTGACATCTTTGTGTACTTAGTTAGCGTTCACCCTAGTCGATTTAAATGTTTACTTTCCTCCTCCTGTTGTCATTAATAGTTTTAAGCACTTTCCTTCAGAGTATTGATGTCTAAGAGCCTCACTGTATAGATAGTTGTGCAATGCTGTAGGTGTGGCTGTTAGGAAAACGTTTGGGCTCACCTGTAAAACTATGCTGAGGTTTCTGTACTACTCTGAAGAGAAAATAACATTTTGTTTTCACACAATATTATAAAATGCAGATTGTTTAACAAACGCTCATCTTCTCTCTCCAGATGCAATTTTAAAACAATTAAAGCATCCCCTGCCGTCCCGTCTGTGGCCACTTCTGCTCCCTGCACTGCTTGATATTGTTTGTTCTGTTACACTAGTTATTTGTTTGTTTATTTATAAGAAATATTAGTGTTATTACCATTTTATTCACGCTTTTTTGGAAGTTTTTTTTTTTTTAAATAAAGAAATTCTGTTAAATATAAGGATGTATGCCAGTTTTGTGGATGAATATCGTCTTTGGTGGTCAAACTGGCTGCAATATAAGAGACAACCGCTAAAATCTTGACTAAGGCACCAAAATGATGAGGGCCGGCTCTGGTGAGAGTGTGTGAGAGTGTGTTTGTGTGTGCGCGCGCGCGTGGGATAGCGGGTTAATGTGTTTGGTTTCTTCTCATGTTTGAGCTGAAAATTTGACTAATTCAACAGCTTTAAGGCAATAACCTGCCACTGACGACAAACCGCAGAAACGAAACTTAAGAGATGCAGACTCCTCCTCTCTCTCTCTCTCTCACACACACACACACACACCCAGTCTCTTCACTCGGACACCTGAGGCTACTGACTGCACGCGCTGCTGCTGCTGCTGCTGCTGCTGCTCCTCTCCATAACACGGAGGAGGTCAGTGCGTCTGCGCGATGTGACACAAATGAAGATCAGACGGTTCACGGTAAGAGTTCTTCTTCTACTTCTACTTGTTTTTGTTGGCCTGACGTCACACTCAGTGTTTATAGATCTCAGCAGACTCTAAACAGAACAGAGACTTAGATATGAATACTTCTGCTCTCCCAAAGTAATGCACCGGGTATCCTAACCGTGACCGACGCGAGTGATACCTCTTCAGGTATGAGTAGGAAATACATTCAAGAATCTGAAAATGAAATAGAGAATAAGCAGTGAGAGTAAGATTAAGAAGTTTACAAAGCGCAGTATGTTAAACTGTAGATATTTCACTTCCTGCTAATTGGAGCCTGTAGTTCTCTGACGTCATTCTGATGGTCTGTTTCCGCCTCCAGCTGTTTTTTTTTTAACATTACACAACAGCGCCCTCTAGTGGATTAAAGTCGCACTGTGACCCTTTCAGATATCTAACAAAACAAAAAAAAAAACTTTTTCACTTCGTCCCAAATGTTTCCACACATTTCCAGAAAGAACCAACACACACACATCTCTCTCTCTCTCTATGTATATATATGACAGGTGGTCAATTCCAAACACGACCATCAGAAGTGTTCAGGTGTGTTTGGTGTATGATTGTTTTATTTTGAAGGTAAAAATGTGCAGAGGGATGCTCTTTGTATTCGGGGATTTAGAACGATCGGAGAGGGAGAGAGTAAACAACACACTGAAACAAACACAGTAACACTACGACACTGTGAAGAAGAAATCCCTGCAGAGGCTTTGAATAGAACACTTAGAATAACAACCTGAGCCGGTGAGGGACAAAAACAACAGACCCTGTTCCACCTTTTGAAACAGTCCCCTGTGGTCTAAATGACACATCTGTGCTGTGCTTTGGTCAAAATATAACATGAATCAAGCACCAGAGGAGGTTTGTGACCCTGTATGAACCAGCTCTCTCAGAACGCTCCGTTTTGGTGTGTGTGTCTCTTTAAATGCAATGAGCCCCCCCCCCCCGAGTAGACGTCACTCCTCTGTCGCAAGAATAAAAATGGCGGACCTGTGCAAAAGTTTTGTTCTAAACTGGGGGTGGAGACCATGGGTGGAGATACCAGGGGAGGGGAGGGTTTTTTTTTTAACCAGAATCCCACTGTGACATCACAAGGAGAGCACATTTATGTTGTAAGACTTATGCAGACCACAAACAAAAGGACTGGATGGGTTTATTTCACATTTTGTCGGTCAGTAGACACTCAGGTTACCCAAATATATGTTCAAAAACACTGAAGAAGTTTTCATTATATGTCCCCTTTAACAACTTCTTTTTGTGCTCTCTTTTCGTCTTTTCTGTTTTTTCAGACGCATTGGAGCGAACTCGGACACTTGTCAGCCTTCGATCAGAAAATTATTCCATCTCATCAGACATTTCTTTCTTTAAGTCAAAGATCATCAGATTTATAACTGAACCATAAGAAAACAGTTTGCAGGGCGACCCCCCTCGCGCCTGCGTACATCTGCTCTCTTTTACGAGAGATTATGAGAGATTCATCATGTCAGCCAGCGAGTACAAACTTGCTCCTCTGTTATCCACACATTCCCTCAGACTGGTGTGTCCTCGATGCTCCGTCCAGCAGCGAGAAATAACGTACACGTTGACGTCAGTGCAGCATCAGTGTGAGCGCAGCGTGCTGCTCTGCAAAGCCAGGGATGGCCACACGTGGAGGCCCGTTTCCAGGCGTCCCAAGTTCCCCAACCCGAGCCGCTACGAGGTGTGTTACTACTTCAAGGAGGGCTCTGGATGCAGGGAACACAAGAACCGCTGCACCTTTGCCAGGAGTGACGAGGAAGCTGCCGTGTGGATGTTTGAGAAGCAACACGGAGTGGATCATTCCCTCCTATGTCACCTGATCGCTCAGACCGAGAGAGTGTCTGATCCATCCGACTCCAACCAACCTGACATCCTAAACACTCTAGATCTGAAGGCTGCCTGTGAACTGTGTTGTACCAAATACAAAGAAATCACCTACACTGTTCAGTCAGTAACTCACAAGTGTAGAAGAAATCTGCTTTTAGCCAAATTCAAATCCTCTCAGCAGTGGCGCCCCGTCTCTGAGCGTCCCACATCCGGACAGTTTGGTCGCAATGTTTTCTACAAAGAATGTCTGTACTTCAGTGAGGGCTTTGGATGCTCTCAACACGGAGACAATTGCACCTTTGCTCGAAGCTTTGAGGAGGCGACGGTGTGGAACCATATCAGAGACGAGGACATGGACAGAGACGAGTTCATGAGACTCATCATTAAGTCTGAGGCAGCTTCAACTCCTGAACACGCAGCTCAGAGCATCCTCCAACAGTGTCCAGGGGAATTCATGGAGCTGTGTAGAGACTGCTTTCAAGACAAAAAACTGACAGGCAAAAGGTGGAACGCTACCTGTTCAGCAGACGCAGCGCACATCTGGGAGCCTGTCTTAGTCCATCACCTGTCAGGGAACGGCGGGAAGCAGGTCTACAGCCAGGTGCGCCCTATTCCACCAAACTGTCCATTTGACTTCTGCAGCCACGTCCAGCAGGGGAAGCCCTGCTGGCACACGGCCGGTCAATGCCGCTCCGCCCAGAGCGAGGTGGAGATGTTGGTGTGGAGGGCGGAGCACGGCGGGCTGCCCGTGCGGCCTCATCTTCTCCAGCTGAGCCAGAAGGATCAGTCAAAGCACAAACAAGGCACCATGTACTGCAAAGTCTGCCTGCTGAACCTGTCCTCCCCCGAGAGCTTCTACAAGCACTGCTCCTCTCTGGAGCATGCTCAGTTACTGTGTGAGGACACCACCACCAGATGGAGAGGGCGGCGGCCACCACACGGCCAGCGAGCTGACTTCAGGCTGTGCGAGAGGTAAACCACACGACTGATTTACACGTCAAACACTCGTGCACTCTGTCTCCCTGATTGTTTAACACCAACAGCTTCATCCACCTGTTTTAACATCTGACACTGGGATCTGATTGGCTGCAGGGTTTCCATTAAATCCTTATTGCTAGGGATTATGGGTTTAAAAATGTAGACTTTGTAATCTTTGAACACCAGTGTTGTCAATCCAAAATGTGTACAGATGTTGAAAGGTTTCAAAGAGTGCTGTCAGTGTTGTGAAGCATTGTGCTGAATCAGCTGTTTGAATGTGTCCTCCATCCTTCAGACCCCTGACATGTGAGTATGGCAGCAAGTGCCCCAAAGCTCATTCTGTGGAGGAGCTGCAGGAGTGGATGATGCGAGCTGCAGAGGAGAAGGAGATCAGAGACAACATGGACGCTCAGGGTCTCATGTGCTATAATGAAAAGCTCCTGGAGGAGTATAGAAACAGCAGCAACGAGGTGCACATCGTGAGTACCACACGGTTATCCTGTTTCTCTTTGAACACGATCAGACTAAAAGATAAGAAGAGCTCTCACACTCATCAATCAGACTTAAAACTAAGAGGCCAAAGCCTGGTCCCCCCAACACATGTTTACAAACAGATGTTTACAACCTGAACAAATGTTTACAAACAGATCTTTACAACCTGAACAGATGTTTACAAACAGATGATTACAAACAGATCTTTACAAACAGATCTTTACAAACAGATGTTTACAATCTTAACAGATGTTTACAATCTGAACAAATATTTACAATCTGAACAGATGTTTACAACCTGAACAGATGTTTACAAACAGATGTTTACAAACAGATGTTTACAACCTGAACAGATGTTTACAAACAGATGATTACAAACAGATCTTTACAAACAGATCTTTACAAACAGATGTTTACAATCTTAACAGATGTTTACAATCTAAACAGATATTTACAATCTGAACAGATGTTTACAACCTGAACAGATGTTTACAAACAGATGTTTACAACCTGAACAGATGTTTACAATCTGAACAGATGTTTACAACCTGAACAGATGTTTACAACCCAAACAGATGTTTACAAACAGATGTTTACAAAAAGATGTTTACAATCTGAACAGATGTTTACAAACAGATGTTTACTACCTGAACAGATGTGTAAACTGAGAGAGAGTCCACACATGGCGATTAATAATGAGAGAAGTTTAGTTAGTGTGAGGAGGGCGACGATGTGTCCCAAACAGCTGCTCACACACAGATTCATTCAGAGTCCGGACTCTGAACTCTGGAAATCTCACTAAATCTCTCTTTGGAGTTTTTACTGAAAATTCACAAATAAAAAGTAAAAAACTCTGGATAAAGTTGTGAAGACGGCATGAACGTGTTCTGTACATGTTACAGAGCAAGGAGAATAAATATTGATTTCCCTCCTTCTTCAGTCAACTCACTTCCTCAGGGTTCCCCCCAATATTATACATGTTAAAGGGTCACTTATTCTTTAAAATCCTCTTCCCCATGTTCCTCTAACTTTAATATGTGTCTCTAGTCTGTCTACAAACCCCCCAATGATGAGAAAAGTCCATCCTCTCCGTCTTCTGCCTGCTCCACTTTTCAGAAAATGTGTGCTCAAACAGGCTGTTTGGAGATTTTCCCTTCATGAAATCACAAAGGGCAGTAACCCCTCCCCCAGGTGGGTGACACTCCCACAGCTAGGTGTTTGTTCTGTCTTTTGAGTCTGCCTTCTCACCGTAAACAATACAACATGGAGCAAGAAAGCCTGAGACACGCAAGCCCTTCCAGAGAGGGGGCGTGGTCAGACACCGCTCATTTACATATGTAAAGGTACAGACACAGAAACAGCCTGTTCTGAGCAGGGCTGAAATAGAGGAGTTTATAGGCATGATCAAATACAGGATCAGAGTGGATTTAGAACAAGAAACTTCACACACGTTTTGAGGAGCTCTGAGACTTATTTAAACTGGTTGAAGAGGAGGAGGGTATGTCACCTTTAACAATAACTTCCTTCTGAACTGATCAGATCACTGCTAATACCTCACATAACAGGAACATCTGGCAAGATCATCTTCAGAATTGTTTAAACATCTGGACTGTCAGAAGGAGAGAATCAGGCTTAAGTCGGACCCTTTAGCTTGTCATGTCCGTTACTGGCCTTCGTCCCTACAGTGTGTATCACATGCAGAGATAATATTTAGGAATAATTAATATATCTGATTTTTAAACACAACAATCTCATTTGAGAGAATGTAACTGTCACTGTTGAACAGATATCAGAACAAGTTGACGAAGTCAGCATCTCCTGTGATGAAGATTTAAGCGTTCAGCGTGAACAGGTCGATGGAACACTGCAGTGGCACTTCCAGGTGGAAACAGAGGTAAGACTTTTACAGCTAGTTTTTACATTAGCTGTATAACTTTGCTCATGTACACAGTTAACTTCAGCAGCAGGAACATTTTGGTAGACAGTAGAGGCGCTCTCTGCAGCACCAAACAGACTACCTGGTAAAGAGCTCAACAGTTTGGTTCGGGAAGTAACTAGCCCCTTCATTATATCCATAGTGGATTTGATTATTAGCCATGATGTCATAACCATCACAGGTAGACTGACCACGAGCTACCTGAGTGTGAAACGATGGTTTATGTTCCTGTAGGAGACACAAGTTGATATCGACCTTTAAGAACAACACAGTTTATTCACCATGTTGGGTAAAAGAACTACACTACCCATGATCATAGAGTGTCACAGCGACGTCTCTGATTGGTGGAGCTCGCTGTTACCATGGCAATGTTTCCCACCCCTCAGCGTTGTATGCTAGCAGGCTAGCTAGCTAGTTAGTTAACAGTAAATGTGCTAATAGCGAATGTAGTTTATTCAACAACACAAACTACAACACATGTATGAACAGTATAAACATGATAACAACGACCAACGTTACATTAAGAAGAAGAGGAAAAATTTTCAATGGATTGTGGGATATGTAGTGTATTGACTCCTGATAAAAAAACATGTACACAGTCTTGTACCTTTTTCTCATTTTTTTTAATGCCGATTTTTTGCACCAATCAAATGTTTTTCAGTCACCGAACAATCAGTGTTAACTCCAGTGTGCACTATGACCTGATGTGTGTTTACACCAGAAATTACATTATAGCAAAGATCCACATCCTGGCAGAATGTAATACGAGTGACAGTATTGATACCTGTTTAGCGCCTCCTGTAGTACAAAGGTTTAATGACAACATTACTTCATTAAAGGCTTTATATGCGATTTTTCACACTTAAATGTAATAGAAATCAAGTATATCCTCTGAAAATAACTCTGTGAGTCATGACTGTCTACAATGAGTGTAACACCCAAGTCTCACTGTCTGTGATGCTTTCCAAGTCCAATATTCAGTTTGTTTACATCGCTCCTTCCCTCGCGTATAAAAGTTGTTTAATTGAGGGACTAGAGGAAAGAAGAATAACATACTGTACTCACTGATTAACTGTGTTTCTAGATCATGGTAATTTCGGGTAAATTTACATGCAGTGTGAAGATCGCATGCTAACACAACAATGCACCGCGAGTTGTTTTGGTTTCATGCTGGTGCTCAAGGACATCTGCTGGATCAAAAAATCACATATAAAGCCTTTAAGGCGCTGTTGTGGAACCCATATCTGTAAATGTTCCCGTCTTCTCAGATGTTCATTGGATGGGTGTTAGGTATAAATATTCCTTTATAAATTATCCACTACATTTGGATCTAGTAACAAATTGTATGGGTCAGTTAGGAGCCTTGTAGACCTGACCTCAGTGAACAGGTGTGGGCTAAGTAACAGGTAAACACAACACAGGAAACAAACATGGCTGTAGCATCATGGATACCAACAAAATCATTCAGGAAGACTAATTTGAAGTTAAAAACTGTCAGACAAGCTACTAATCACCACTTCTCTTTACAGAGACAACTTTTGCATGTTGCACTCCTGAAGCAAGAACCAGGCGCTTCATTCAGCCTCGGTAACATGAGTTCTAGTCCCTGCATCTACTTGTCAGGAAAACACTTTCTCGTAGAGGACACGACCTATGACATCACCGTGTCTTTTACATCAACCAACCCTGGACTGTACGAACAATGGTTAGTGCTGGATTTTGGTATGAGACCTGTTCTGCTGAAGAAGTTCAGAGTAAGAGTAGGACAGCAGCTGGTCTTGGATGAAACCGAAGACCCAGCTGTGAACCCAAGAGCCACCTTTCAAACTGCTGAGCGTTGGCATCGAGGGAACAGGGTCATTATTCCAGGTTCGTCCAGGACAGAAGAGCAGGAGGAGCTGTTGAAGGAGTACAAACCTCCGCAGATTAACTTCCTGTATAAATCCTCCAGAACCAACCAGACCCCTCTGAATCATGAGAACTACAGAGAGAGAATGCACCACTTCCTTTATGATGAGGAACGAGCAGAGGACCAGGTTGTTTCAAGGTAAGACACTTAAATCCTTATTTTCCTTTTACTCCCAATTTCCACATATTCCGTGCTTGCCGCCATTTGCTGCCACTCTAGTCAATGACTGTGATTTCCACAGCGCAAGTTGCTGACGGACCACGCCGTGCACAGAGCATGGGGAAATTGGGAGGTTACAAAGAAAAAATTTCAACATATTTATGAATCAATTCTGAACCTTTTCCTTTATATCCTTTAGACTAAATGTTCGTGGTGAAATCACAACTCTGGATACTTTGACGAGCACACAATTTGGCACTATGATAGCTCCTCTAGGACAACTCTACTGTGCTGTCTCGATTTCTTGTAACCTCACTCCAGACACCCCCGAAGGACAGGTTCTAAAGCGCAGCATCAAGTCCGGCCTAATCGCCCCAATATCTTCAAACGGGACAAACTCAAAGGTCTACGAAGCCACCATTCTGCAGGACAAAACAAGTGAGAACAAAATGTATTTGCAGCTGTCTAAAAAATGCTGCTCTGATCTGTCACTCGAGGGAAATCAAACGTATCAAATGGAGGTACAGTTTCAGCTGGACCGCTTCAGCTTCTGCACCATGCACAAGGCCGTAGACCTCCTTCCTGATACCAAAAGAGTGCTACCAGACCTCAAAGATTGTACAGTTCCTCAAAGTGATATTCTCCACAAGAAGCTGAACCCAAAGCAGCAGTCAGCAATCAGCTTCATCACAGGGAACTCCATTGTCCCCAGAAATGTGGCACCGCTCCTCATTTATGGACCGTTTGGAACTGGGAAAACGTTCACCCTCGCTACTGCAGCCAGAGAGCTGTGTAAGCAGCCTCACAGCAAAGTGCTGATCTGCACCTATACCAACAGGTAAAACATCCCACTGATGACTATAGATTCACCGTTTAACACTTTTGTGATGTTTGATGAAAACCTAAACTGCCAGTTTTCTGGTTTTCATGACTCTAGTAAAAGTATGGCTGATATCGCCATCAGTAGTCAGAGAACTGTTCACTTTACATTCAGAGTCTGAGTCCCTGCATGTCATAATGTCCAGACTACAGGCCATGGTGCTGCCGTCATAGATACACCAGCATGACGCTCAACAGAGATGCTCAATTACAGATTGAAATAAGTGTATTCTCTCTATCAGCAGCTCCTCGTCTCGTTGCTCGTTAATGCTGTGACCACAAACTGCTACCTCATAAACACTGCATTTATCTGCTGTCATTTACTTTTTCTTTTCAATATAAATCACAGAAAGATGGGCTGCATGAGAAGCCAGTTATAGTGTACAGAATGTAACTGCCTGTTTTCCTTCTGTATGTTGTAATAATATAAATGCTAAATCAATCAGCATCAGGGGAAAAGTGGTCTTCCCCCTCCTGCTTGTCTACTTGTGTGCTCCCTCTTTGGGATTTAGGATGCCTGACTATGTCTTGACCTGATTGTCTGGACTTCTTTTGAACGTTGTTGAAAATATATTTTATATAGCAACACAAACATGTACTGAAGTCCTTTACATCATTTCATTTCAGTTCGGCAGATCTTTATGTCAGAGATCACCTCCATCCCTTCATTGATGGAAGAAATGATGGATTGAGGCCTCTTCGAATAAAAGCAAACAAACATGGGAAGGCTCTGTTTGCCACAGATGCGATAACTCTGAAATACTGCCTCCTTTCTGAGGATGGACAGTGTTTTCTGCCACCAACGAAAGCTGCTCTAGATCGCCACAAAATAGTCATAACCACGACATCAATGGCAAGACGTTTTGTAGACCTAAAGCTCCCAGAGGGATACTTCACCCACATCCTTATTGATGAGGCCTCTCAGATGCTGGAGTGTGAAGCTCTGTTGGCCCTTGGTCTTGCAGGACCGGACACTAGAGTGGTTTTGGCTGGAGACCACATGCAAATGGGGCCAAAGCTTTTCTCGGTCGATGACCATCACCGTTCAAATCAAACGCTCCTCAATCGCTTGTTCCACTACTATCAAGGCCAGAAATGTGACGCTGCACACAACAGTCGAATCATTTTCAGTGAAAACTACCGCTCAACATCAGAGATTGTGGAGTTTGTGTCCACTTTTTTCTACGTTGGTAAAAATGATGTCATTAAAGCTGCTGGAAATATCCCAGCTCCTGCCAACGGCCATGCCCTCAAGTTTTACCATGTTAGGGGAGAGTGTCTCTTGGACACGGTGTCTTTGTCTTGGTACAACAAAGAAGAGGTAACCAAAGTGGTTGAAGCAGTGGAAGAGATTCTCAAACAGTGGCCATCGACCTGGGAGGCCAAAGACCTAAGCTCAATCTGTGTCCTGTCAGAGGGGATTCAGGTAAACGTTAGAGTTGTCAAAAGATGGAATATCATCATAATATAATGTACATTTCTGCCAAAATGAAACTGCCTGTTAGATACAGTCAGTTTTAATCATGTTTATTTTATTGTTCAAAGGTACGGAAAATTCGGAAAGCCCTATCGAAAAGACGCATTCATGGAGTCTGTGTTGAGAATCTTACAAATGTGCAAGGTAGTTACAATGCAGCTGTCCTAAATCTCCTGCATGATTATCCCATTATGTTGGATAGAAAGAATTGCTGAAGTCATGTTATATTTATATAACTGTTCATATATTTAATTGTCATTTTAGCTTAATCAACATTGTCTTCATTTGTTAACAGGTAAACAGTTCAGGGCAGTGGTAATAACAGCTGTTCAAACACGTGACAGCCTGAAGACGTCTCACCTGGCTGGTCTGGAGCTGTTCAATGATGCCCGTGTGTTAAACACTGCGATGACCAGGGCTCAGTCCCAGGTGGTAGTGGTTGGAGATTCCGCTGCGCTCTGTTGCTTTGGGAAATGCTCTGCAGTCTGGAAGAGCTACATAGACCATTGCATCAGCAACAACAGCGTTGAACCAAAGCATTTCACCAAAGACTTCTTTGAAAAAGACGTAATGGAAACGGCAAGGTTTAAGAAGACTGAACATGCAGAAGAGAGTGAAGGACTCAATGACACAATACTTCAAGAGCTGAAAGATGAATATATAAAGCTGGAATCAGAATACAGTTCAAATGAAGACACAGTGCAAGGAAAAGACATCAATCACCAAAAGTTCAGATCATCGTACAGTAAGATCTATGGTGGGAAAGACCTGTTGGAGTCATGTAACAATCAACCAGAGGAGTACACACAGGGGAAGGTGTTCAGGGAGTCATCTAACAGAGGTTACGTCATTCCATTTCATAACCCTGCCAGACATTTTCTCATTAAGGGAAGGGCCAACATGGGTAATGTCTTCACTGGAGACGAAGTGGTCTTACAATCAACAAAAGTGGTCAGCATCACCAAAGAGGCAGAATCAGCCCGTGTACTTGTGTGCTTGCTTGAGGATGAGGATTACAGCAAACCAAGACAAAATACTGAAAGTAAATTTGTCAAAAGGTTGATGATTCCTATTAAAAGATCTGAGCCCAAAATACGCATTCTGATCAACAAAAAAAGTCGAAACTTCCTGCCAATATGGGAGCGAACTATGCTGAGGACACCTGTGGCAAGTGAACGTATAAATGAAAAGCTCAGGCAGAATCATGTGTTCATGGTGAAAGTGATTGGCTGGAGAGAACCTTATCGTTTCCCTTTGGGCAAGGTCATCGAAATAATTCCAGTTGGCACATCTTTGATTGATGGACTACGGATCCTGAATGAGGAATTCAAAGTTGAACCCAATGTGTTAACATCAGATGATGATCTCTCAAAGGAAGATGAAGACAGGACAAGAAGAGAAAACTTATGTGATGTGATCACTTTTACTGTTGATCCTGAAGAAGCAGAGGACTTGGATGATGCCATTAGTGTCAGGGAAATGGAAGACCAGTATGAATTGGGAATCCATATTGCAGATGTTGCAAGCTATGTTCAACTGGGCAGTAAATTAGATGTGTTTGCAAAAAAGCGTGGTACCAGTTATTACTGTAATGATGCGAAACCTAATCACATGTTCCCTGAAAACCTGAGCACTGGACATTTAAGTCTTCTCGAGGGTAAAGATCGCAGGGTCGTCTCATTGATGATCCGAGCAAACAAGCAAACAAATGAGATCATTGGACAGCCCAAATTCCAGCTGTCACAAATCAACTCGAATAAGAGGCTGTCCTATAGTGAGGCAGAAGAAGTGATCACTAAGAGACGTGGAACAGGACTTGAATTTAAAACAGTAGAAGACTGTGTGAGCATGGCGTACTGTTTTGCAAAAGCCCAGAGGAAGAAAAGACTTGTGGATTGGGCCTACTCCCAGCCTGATGAACAGAGAGTTCCCGGGAAGCGTAAAGCCCATCTGATGATCGAGGAGCTAAGTGTGTTATACAACACACATGCATCAATGATTTTGATTGGTTCAGACAAAACCAAGTGCTGCACACCCCTGCGCTGCCAGAAAGAACCGAATCCCGAAAAGATAAAAGAATTCAAAGAGAAATGTGGAGGATTGATCCCGCTGTCCTCTGCTGTGCGGCACAAAGTGGAACATAATGGAAAAGCCCCTAACTGTGAAAACTTTCCCATCCTCACTGAAGTGTGGAACAATATCCAATCTGCTGCTGAAGCTGATGATGTAGACACAATGGTTGACCTGATTGCTGCAGATGACATCCACCCTCTTCTCCAACCAGTCATTGATGAGTTCAGAAAGTGCTCTAGTAAAGCTCTTGTCGCCCCCTTTGGTTCCTCTGAATCCCAGGTTGGGCATTACTCTCTGAGTGTACCATTTTACACACAAGCATCATCACCGATAAGGCGCTACATGGACATCGTCTTGCAAAGACTTTTGCATTCTGTCATAAGCAACAGTGTTGTCCAGTACACTAAAGAGGAGATAACGAGTCTTTGCAATGAATTTGAGCTCAGCCTCACGAAGGCCAAGGAGCATGACCAAAAGGCTGAGCAGCTCTTCTACGCCGTGAACATGAAAAATCAAAGTGCTACTAAAGTAGCCTTTGTTGTCAGTGTGGATTCTTCCAAAGAAAGCTTTACAGTGTCATTTCCTTTTAACAAGAACATATCTAGAGAGAATCTCTCAATTATGTACAGGGATTTGCAGTTGTGGGACCAACCTAAGACTGTTGATGCACGTGTCAGACTTGCATGGAAAAGGCGGCTCTATGCAGTTGGCGACATGCAAATCCAAGAAGAGTTAAAAAGGCCAGACTGTGGTCCCTGTGTTGAGCTCCCTCTGACACTATGGAAAGACACTGTTGAAGCACTTGACAAAGAAGATTGGAAACTTACAAAGGATCTCATAATGAAAGGTTGCACAAAGAAGCTACAAGAAAATAATACTCTGCCTCAATCGTCTGAAATACCTGATTCAGAGTCTGACACAGACAGCTCGGAGGACAAAGAGGCACAAAGTGGGCATGAGGTGGAGATCAAACTTGACCTTAGGGCAGGTGACACTCTTCAGATCCAAATGACTTGGGAGCTAAAAAGAGGTTACTACATGCCTGCTGTTCAGTTGGTGCGTATTAAACCAAAGTTTGAGATTTGTGTGGAACACGTCCACAGTCCTATCACATGTTTATCCAGATCTGCAGACAATCCATCAAACATTCGTTACAGAAACATTGAGGAGTATGTACGTATCTGGAAACCGCTGTGTGAGATGGAATCTGCTGCCAATGCAGTGAATGAAGAGGATAGCATCGTCATCGAGAACCTGGTGCTAACCTTCAAACAACAGCAGAGAGGAACCCTATCAGGAAGTTTCTTCTTATCGCAGGCATGGATCGATAAATGGGCCATTGAGTGTCACCTTTCACAGTGTTTTCTGTGCATACGCAAAAGAGGTCTGAAGTTGACTTCAACTCCAGAACACTCTGCACTGGTGGACCCAAAAGAGTTCACATGGGTGGCCCACGGTGTAACACGAAAAGTGGATCTGAAAAAAACTCCCAATAAAGGAAGTAACGTGGAGTTCGACATCAACTACCTGCCAATGGAGACCATTCCTGACTGTGTGTTTCAGAAGAACACTACTTTTACAGTGGAAATCATCCCAAAGTCCCTGCCAGACGTGTGAGTTAAGAGTTTTTGACTCTGACATTGAGGTTAATTGTCGATAAACAATTTCCTCTTCAGCTATACATTGTTGATGTACTTCTTCTTTTTTTGTAGCCGAAAAGAGCATGCAGTTGTTAGCATGACGTCTGCATCTGATCTCGTCCAGGCTATAGCACTTGGATTCTATCCAAGAGAGGGTAGGTCATTGTTTCATACATCAAGACTATTTGTAGACCTAACCTGTAGAGTCCGTTCCTGATTTGTCTAAATTTGATTCAACTACTTTTTCTTTTCTTGCAAACATTGAAGCTTCTTAATTTTTCTTTGCGGTAGATAAGGACGAGCCCTATAGGAGGACAGAGCTTGACAATGGACTGCCTAAGCTAAACCTGAGTCAACGTCTTGCTGTTAATAAAGCTCTAAATAATACCTTCACAGTCATCCAGGGACCACCTGGTAAGAGCGACAGCATTTATTCACCCTGATGCTTGACACCCTCTGCTGAGGCTAAAGCTATATTTCCTGTTTGTCTCTCAGGAACAGGAAAGACGGTTGTGGGTGTGTACTTGGTGTACTGTTTCTTTGAGCTGAACTCTCAGAACCCAAGAAAATCAGTCGACCCGAACGATAAGAACAAGAAAGAAATTATTCTCTACTGCGGCCCGTCCAACAAGTCTGTTGATGTTGTCGCAGGCAAGTTCCTCTGTGTCTTCACTGAAGTAACCCCCACATGATGTTGTGTTTTTCTTACCCGACTTCATGTATGTGTGTTTACTGTTGTTACACAGAGTACCTGGTAAGATTTGGGGGCAAAATAAAACCGCTCAGGGTGTATGGTCAACAAGTGGAGATGCTGGATTATCCTTATCCAGACGGCAACCTTCAGTTTCCCCGTAGTACACTCCGCCAAGCACGTGCCAAACCAGAGCTCAGGTACTGTAAACACACATACTCACTCTGTTAGTAATGAAAGAACTCCAAACTGATCCTGGCATATTTCACCTGGTTTTAGGAGCATCACTCTTCATCACCGCATGCGAGAGGACCAAAACCCTAAATCAGGAAAAATAAAAGAGTTTGACCAGCGAATCGAAGTCGCCCGTAGGACAAAGAACAAGTCAGACCAGCTGAGTGATGAAGAGGTTAAAGAGTAAGTTCAGATGCACTCTTTGTTTTTCATACAATGATACAAATACTCCAGCAGCGGGTGCCATAGGCTGTAAGAAACAGTCTGATTGTTTAGAAGTTTGTAAGAAAGTCTTCCTACTTTTGATTTATTCCCTAGGTAGACATTCTCTTGATCAGTTCTCACGCTTTAGTTTCAGGTATTTTCCAACACATCATGAAGTCCATTTAGTCAATTATGCTCCATTTACTGCCAATTTCCACATTCTCTGACACGCCGCTGTCTGTCAGTGCTGCGCACTACGCCACCACTCGCTGCCACTCAAGTTAATGCTCCTGTTTCCACAGCAAGCGCCGCGGTCCTTCTCTGGAGTGTGCCAGCAGCACCACCATACTCTGCTCAGTTTCCAATACGCTGTGATTATATTTTTAACGGAGTACGCTGGCGTGGCGCTGATGGAATAGAGTGCACACGGACAATGTGGAACTTGTCTTTATGTTGTGATTCAAAGTGGGGTTATGCATATTTGCATTTATGTCAGATTTGAAAAAAGTGAGGGATCTTCAGTGTCCAGCCTCAGTTTGAATTTGAGGAACTGTTTGTGTTTCCTCTCAGGTACAAGAAACTCCTCAGAGATGCTCGGACATATGAGCTTGAACGCCATGACATTGTGCTGTGCACATGTACGCAGTCTTCCTCTCCAAACTTGGTGAAGACCGTGAGCGCTCGTCAGATCCTCATCGATGAAAGTGCGATGGCCACTGAACCCCAGACCCTGATTCCATTAGTCTGCAACAAACCAGAGAAGGTGTGCTTTCCTTTAAACCTGCCTGAGATTTAAACTAACACTCCTTAATGTATCTGAATGCTAATGATTAATGTTCCTTTGGTATGCCTTCTATACTTAATATTGCTCATAGACTAAAACGAGTCTAAAATAGAGTTTAATTATTACAATTGTTGGGGTCCTAAAGAGCGGGTCACGATCTTTGGGGCTACCCACGGGCTAGACAGTCCATATGTCTGGGATTGAGGAGAAAGGTTTGGTGTAGTTAATTAGGGAACCAGTTCATAGGGTTAACAGTTCAGAGGAAAACGAGGCATTTTAGTCTGGGCTTTAGTCTGCCTAACTATGTCTAACGCTAAGCATCAAAACATTAACAGGCATTAGCAAAGCTTTGCTGCTCAAGGTGCATGATTTAACAAAACAAATGAAACAAACAAAGAAGAGGAGGAGAGAAAGAGAAGAGTGTCAGGTGTAGATTTGTGGGCTAACTCCTAGCCTGGGCAGAAGTAAGCCTGTGGGATGGTGTTTGTGGCATGTAGGTGTGTAAATGTACATGTACATTATGTGTCTCACTACCAATATTAAAACACAAACCGGAACTCCGGTTATACCTACCCTTCTGTCTCAGGCTACGGCCATCCCGAGAGTTCCGTCCGGATATGGTAGCGATCAGTTGTCCAGGCTGGAACCTACCCTGTGGTTGGCTCCCACCTTCACCCCTCTGGTTCTGTTGTCTATTCTGCCGGTGACGTGGTCTCTTATGCTTATTCCTAGCACGAGGCAACTTGTTGCCTTCACATGTTAGGTAACTATTGTGTGTCACAAACCCTGGACGTAAGCGCGTGCTTACCTCCTGTGCGAATCTCTTTCATACTAAGCTGATGTGTACGACTATGCATGGTGACATCGTGCTGCACACAGCCGTGCACATTGTGCATGAAGATGGACTTGAATGTTTGGTTCTCTTCCAAACCTGGAGCCTTACGTCCCTGGAAATATGCAGATCTTAGGCGCCAGTAATAATCTTGGGGGACTCATGCTTCTGGTGCAAGACACTGAAAGCACTAAGAAGGGCAGATGCAGGGTCAGTGTAGGTGGAGTATTCCTGGCGCAAAGCATTGCAGAGTGCAGAGTACTGGTATTTGATCTCAGGCTGAAGGGTAGTTGTGAAGTCATGGACACTATTGGAAGTTGTCTTCCAGATCAGCCTGAGTTTTTCTCTTGTGGATGCATCAGGTAAATCACTGAGACACAGGTTAATCGCTCCGAGGTAGTCATTGATGCAGAAGTTTGAGTTATCTGGATCAAACCGCTCTACATCCTTTGCCATAGATTCAATGAGCCTTGTGTGCATTCTTTGATCTCTGGGTGAACAGGAGCCATCCAAGTCATCTGATGTTTCGATATTTCTTAGCTTTGAAGCATGCGGTGGTAACTGAAAGTTGGCCTGATGCTATCTCTGCCTGTGGGGGCTGAGAAGTCACCCTTTTTCCCATGGGGTGATTCAAACCTGTCACAGCTGTCTGGACTGGCCACAGTCAAAGTCTTTGTTTTCAGGAATGGCAGGGAAAACAAGACTTCTTTTCTCAGTCCTTGGTTTATCCTGGCTGCTAGGTTCTTTTCTGAACTTTTTCAGCAGGGTTGTTTGATCTCTTAAGGAGCTTAGTTCAAGATCAGAGCCGTATCCTGACTATGGGCCAGATTTACTAAAGGTTTGCGTGTCTTAAAACGTGCGCAAACTTGATACCACCTGCAAAAAAAGTGCTATCTGATCTACTAATGGCGCGCGGATTGTGTCTTTCAAATGAGCAGAACAACACGCATTGTCCATTTAGTACGTTTGACTTAATGAATATGCAATATGGGGCGTTTCTGCCCTAACGTGCAAAATACTGCGAGGAGAAAATGCAAACAAGTTAAGTTAGTACACGCATTGTGATTTACCAAGCCTGACAAAAATTGCGATGATTGTGAAGGTGTCTGTATTTAACACCCTAACCCTGCTAACCCAGGAGACCAGCGTTACGCACAACAGGCTGCTGTTATTGTAGTTAGGAGGAGACATCAAAGAAGGAATACAGATCGCGTTTTTCCCGACATTAATTTGATTCAATATTATAATCGTTAAGGAAGAGAAACACCATGATTAAACTACAGGCTATTGTTGCCATAGCCTACAGCCAAACAAAACTGAACATTCACAGCCTCTGAATTCTATAGAATTTCAACATTGATATTTATGTCTTCTTATTTCCCTCTTTTCACCAAAATTATATTTTAAACTGGGGATTTCCTTTTTTCGGGTTGCGCGTCTCTCCCCCAGCTCGTGCTCCGGTGCGCTCCTCTCCATAATACGCGCGTCACCTCCCTCTAAAGCCCACTGCTGATACTCTGTAGGACGCTTGGATTGGGGGACCTCCCCACTGTTTGTACCCCCGTCTTCAATACCTTTTACCAGGGCATTTATGTCCGTTCAGACACAGTACTGGTCAGCTGTCTGGTGCACAACAACGGCGAGTGGAGAGCGCCTGTGCCACAGAGGACACAGCTCGCACCTCCTGCGCAATGTATGACAGTTCATTCTTAAGATCAAGGGAAGAAAAGAGAGGCCCTGCCGATGTTTTCTTATAACCAAAATTTTCTTTGTAACATTCAGATTTATCTCCTATATAATACTTGAAAGTATTGTGTGTTCATTTGCCTCTTCCACTAATACCTATTTTGCACTTGCAGTCATCCTGCTTTCTGTCCAAACTCTCCGTGATGTAAACCAGTAGAACACGCAAAAGCCTAACTTAAGTAGTACCGCCTCCACAAGGTTTGCACCTGTTGTCATTCACGCAAATTTTCTTAGTAGAGCACCCGTAGAGCACCTGCAAAACGCCCACCAACCAAACGTGCAAACTTTTGGAGTGAACACGCAATTTAGTACTCTTTAATTGGGAGCTTAGTAAATCTGGCCCTATATGTCTTGCTCCATGCTTACCTGTGCTCCTTGAATAACGTCAAACACATCCAGCACTTTCTGCTTGGCAGTATTGAAGTGCTGAAGAAGAAATGTATTTTCCGCCTGCAGGGATTGGACCACATCCTGCAGGGTATGAACGTGATTCTGCAGGCTTTGATTATTTTCCTGCAGCGCTCCTTTTTGTACTTGCAGTTGGGTTAGCTGCAAAAAGAACTTGCATTGGGAAAGAAGGAGGAGTTGTCCAAGAACATCCAGGATCATGCTTTGGTGACTCTTGGTTCTGTGGTTGACATGATCAACTAGCTCCTTCAACTTCTTAACACAAATGCTAATTGAATAGCTAATCAGGTTGGCAATCTCCTCTAAGGAGAGGTGCATCAGACCAGCGACAGTTTCTTGCAGTGCTGTGTGGTCAGATCCAAAAGGAGTCTCAGCTCTTGGCTCACATAGGGTCTTGGCAGGCATTTTATCTGGAAAAACAGAACCCCAGTGAGCCATTGTTAGGAGAGCTGCTAAGCTAAACAAAGCTAATTCAACAGGAGAGCAAATCTGATCTAAGTTTCCAAACTGATCACTGAGCTCTATCCAGGAAGCTAGGTTAAACTAAACAAAGCTAAATCAATCGGAGAGTAACTTTGCTATAAATTTAAAACTGATCACTGCTCTATATCCTGGAAGCTTACGTGAGGGGATTCACTCCTCAATTCCTCTGGATTGGGGAAACTCATGACTCTCAGACAGCTGGCTATGCAACATTTATTTAGATTACTCTCTCATCTGGCCAAATGGCTGACTTGTTGTCTCAAACAACAAAGAGCACCAAAGTAAGTTAAACTACTCAAGTCATTAAAACAAACAACTTGAAATGAGAAGAACATTTTCACAAGAAATATATTCCTTTAGTAAATTACTTCAGGGTTAAAAGATGGACTATTGCAATAAAACAAGTTCCTTAAGAAAGTCACACTGGCTGCATCATTATGTCCAATTGTTGTATGGACACAAAGAGGACAAACAGTTATTACTTTAACCATTAACCAACAAAATACAACACAACTAAGCCACAGCTTGATGTCTGCTCCGCTTAAAAAACAAACAAAAATTAAATCTTCAAATGATAAGATAATTTTCTTCAGAAGAATTACTTTTAGGATTAAAAATTCAGATTACTGTGCATTAACAGTGCACTAAAGATGGTTTATTGAGAACCTCACATGGGGGAACATTTATATTGGGGTTTTACAGAGCTAATACGTGGGCAACATTTATGTTGGGTTTTATATAGTAAAATTTGGTTATTAAGTTAATATTTATTTATTTGTCTTTATTTACACTTGAAAATCATTTAGAGCATAGCTCTCATTTACAATGACGTCGAGCAAGATAAACAATGAAAATTAACAAACATACATATACATATATATGTACACATACACACATAAGCATATGCATATACTGTATACTTACACACATATATATTATATATTAGGGCTGGGAAACGATTAAAAGTTTTAATCGCGTTAATCGCATGAGTTCCTGTGATTAATCACGATTAATTGCATTGTTATATGCAAAATCCAATATTGAATTCAAAAGTAGTGTATAGCGCACTTTTATTGTAAATGTACTTCTCAACTTAAACAATGTAATCAAAGCAAATGAATACAAAACTAAAGCTTATTGCATTCGTTGCAGTCTGGACGCTGAGTGGTGTGGGTCTGCTGCGCGAGGCTAGACTGACAGCCTGAGTGCTTTTGGAAGGGGGAGGGGCTCACGGCAGCACCCGCTGCTCGTTGAGGACAGTAACTGCAGAGCAATACGTGCTTTCACGTCAGTTTCTTACACCAAAAAAGTCTCCAATAACACCAGAAAAAGTCGCTAGATTTGTCGCTAATAACTGTTGACAAAAAAAGTTGCCAAGGGGGTTTGGAAAGTCGCCAGATTTAGCTAGAAAGTCGCCAAGTTGGCAACACTGTTTCCTCTTTCCTTTTCGCCGCAGCAGACATGCGCAGCAGTAAGCAACATACTAGACTCGCTCACGATGGAATTTTACAAAATAAAAGCCAGTGAGCAACAGACTTTTACAATTAGAAAATAAATAATAAAAACTGCGTTAATGCAAGATAAAATAATTGTCGGCGATAATTAATTAATGAGTTAACGCGAAAATAACGCGTTAACGTGTCCAGCCCTAATATATATACACATCATAGATCAACAAAATCATTTAAAAACCAACAAATATATAATAAAAATTATTAAAAACAAAATCAATTAAAACATGTGCAATCAGAAGTAAAGGAGTTAATAATTAAAGATCTAAAATGGCCATAAGAGACCAGTGCCTTGATTTTTAAAGTGCCTTGTAGCAAATTCCAAGCTGATGGTACAAAGATGCCAAAAGCAGATCTTCCAAGCTCAGAATGAGCTCTAGGAACCTGCAGTGTAAGCCAGTCATTCGATCGTGTGTAATGCACTCCAGAAGACGAATGGATAAAATATATATATGGAGCTAAAAGATCAGCCAACACATTTAAAACAGCAGGGGGAGCAGAAGGAGGTCTATACACTGCAACTACAGGTATACTATTATTATGTGCAATATTCACTTCAAGAGCCAAAGGGTTAGGGTTAAAAAATTCAACTGAAACAGCTTTAAGGACAGTACAGATCAAAGAAAATCTTGCATAGATAGCGACACCACCACCTCTGGAGTTTCTATCAGTTCTAAAAAGGTTAAAATTCCAAGGCAACTTCAGAGTCACTTACAGATACTTTTAACCAGGTTTCAGATTTAACAATAATATCTGGATTGGTTTGGGTTGCCAGAATCTTTAGCTGGTCTAGTTTTCCTTGCTGGAGAATGCTCCTAGTGTTTAAGTGAATTAAACCCAGGCCTTTTCTGTTCCTGAAAGCTGAGGGACTAAAAGTAGAGTTTGACACAGGAGTAATTATAGGTCGTGAGGAAGAAAAAATAAGGTTGTCGTTGTTGCAACTGGACCTAATGGGATGTGTGGGCTTTATGCAGGGGGAGTTCACAGAACCTAAATTATGTTTAAATTGTCATGTAGTGAATGCTTTACATGAACGCAGAGTAAGATCAATATTCAGAGAAAAAAGAAAGGAACCTGCCTGATTAGGATGTAGGAGATCATGCTTGAAGAGATCTGATCTGTTGTAGAAGGTTGTGAAATTATCCACGTAGGGGATGCCTCTGTTACAGCAGTAGTCCTTAAGCCAGATGTGCAGTTGCCGTAGCCTGGAGAATTTCACATCACCAAAACAGGGGGATGGAAGTGGGCCAGAAATTATACACTGCATTTTAGCAATCAGAATACTGTCAATGAGGTGGATAAAGTCGTTTTTAAGATTCTCCGACTTCTGAATCTTGAGATCATTAGAGCCCACATGCGCCACAATAGTTGAAACAGATGAGTGGTGACGTAGAAGCGGTGGGATGGAGTTTTTACTATCCTCAACAAGTGCACCAGGGTGGCAGGAGGTGCAGCAGCACCTGTTGATATGGACGTGTCAGACCATGGATGATCCAACGATGAGGATAGTAGAGCAACCGGCGCGAGTATCATCCATAGCAGGCCTGTGGACTGACCCGGATAGCACACCACCAGAGGAGCGAGGCGGGGCTCCCGACTAATGTTTGGCCGCCTGGGGGAGGCGAGCGGGATCACCATCGCGCTTTTCCCGGAGACGAGCAGGCCGCTCTCGACGTGTAGAAGGAACTGGGGTCGGGGGAGACACAGGGGGTACAGATCCATTGCAGACAGGCTGCTCGGACAGAGGCATAGAGGGGGGTGGTGGAGGCGGACAGCGCTGCGGTCCCTGTGATAAAACAGGAGATTGAGATCTCACACATAGAGGAGGGAAATCCTTTAAATTCAGCATATCGACCACAGGCTCCAGGACTTCAAATTTGGTTTCCAGCTGGATAGTCGCTGACATAGCACAAAGCGCAGAGTTATTACTCCGCCGACCAGCGCGCTTAACCTGTGACCAGGGCCCTGGAGTTGAGCAGGCTCTGGACTTGGGCCTCGCTCCAAGGCTTACCATAGCGTCTTCCTTCATACATGAAGGGGAGGCAACTGCCAGAAAAGACTCACTTGTAGCAAGAAGGGAACCATGCCAAGGCAGGGTGGTGTCGGAGTCTGTATGTACCGGAGCTGAAAGCACGGAGCACGAAAGGTGTTTAGACTGGGCAGTAGCAATGGACGACAGCTGGAGGAAAAGTTTGTCCTTCTTCTTCAACTCCTCATACAAACAGCGAAAGTTGTCAGATAACTGTGAGTAAGGAGGAAGGCAACTCACACACATCGCCATGTTAAAAATCAGGTTCGCCTACTTGTGTGCTCCAGGAATGTTTGAGTCGGAATCTGCTGCTGCTCAGCTCTCTGTGAGCTGCTCTGTGCTCAAAAAATATTAATAATTATCCTTCATTAATTATTAATATAAATCAACAATATTATTAACTTGAGTTAATAAAAACCAGTGGCACCACTCTGATGTCAGAGAACAATAACCAAATATCACAAAATCAGTCTCGAATTATTTAATTAAATACTAATATTATTAATAATCAATAGAGACAACTGTTTTTATCAACCCTACACTTAACACTTGTGTTAGATGTTGCAGAGCATGCTGGGAGTGTTTCTGCAGAGCATGGCATGCTGGTAGTAAGAGTCATCTAAAATACTTGTACTCAGGCAACTCTGTATGGGCTGCAGGCTGGACCTTTGTTTCAACACATGGAGATCCCAACACTGTGCATGTGTGGGCTCTCTCCGGGTACTCCTGCTTCCTCCCACAGTCCAAAGACATGCTTGTTAGGTTAACTGGTGACTCCAAATTGCCCGTACGTGTGAATGTGAGTGTGGCTGGTTGTCTGTCTCCATATGTCAGCTCTGTGATTGTCTGATGGACCAGTCCAGGGTGTAACCCCGCCTCTTGCCCAATCACAGCTGGGGGCAGATTTCAACAGGCTGTAGAAATACTGGGATCAACAGGAACCAGTTTTTCCATTTTGAACCTGGGGTTCTCCGAGTTCCAATAACCAGCTAAATGTTGAGCTTCTCACCTCAGTCTGATGTTTGTGGAGTTTTTGTGGTTGTATCATTGTTCAGTACTGCTCACATGTCGTCTTCTCTATAACGTTCAGATCGTTCTGATCGGTGACCACAAACAGCTACAGCCCGTTGTGAGGAACGAGCATGTGAAGAAGCTGGGGATGGCCAAGTCTCTGTTTGAACGCTTCTACACGATGCCGGAGAGCAAAGAGAAGGCAGTGATGCTGGACATCCAGTACAGAATGGTGAGCACTTAAACAGTGTGTTACACAGCACATTGTATATTTATGTTTTTACCTTTTAACTCTACTGCATGACTGTGTTTAGTATCCACAATGGACCTGTACCTGATTTAGCATCTGATGGTGTTATTAGCACTAAATGAGGTTCAGTAGACTGAGACGTTTGGTATGTTTGTTGAGATTTGAATTTGCTGACTTCTAGAAGTTTTAAAAAGTCTTCACTAACTATTCTTTTGTTCCTTTGAAGCATTGTGATATCTGTGAGTTCCCATCTAAAGAATATTATGAGGGAAAGCTCAAAACCAGGGTGGATCCGCCAAGCAGCGTGCTGCGTGTGGGACAAAAGCCAATGAGGATCGTTTTCGGGGACTGCAAAGGAACAACTGTCAGTCTGGTTGTCAACACGGCAAAGGGCAACGAGAACTCGAAAGCGAACAAGGAGGAGAGAAACAGAGTGGTACTGTATCGATCCCCCTACTTTTTCTTTTTGTTGTTAATGACCCGTGGTTTTATCTGAGCCTCTTGGTTTGGTTCTTTTGCAGACTGCCATTGCAGAAGAGCTGGTGAAGAAAGCCAAAATCAAACAGCAAGATATTGCGATTCTTGCGCCGTATAACGCACAAGTTACTGAGATCAATCAACAACTGAAGAAGAAAAAACTGGACAAGATCACTGCGACGACAATCACTAAAAGCCAAGGTGACCTGTCACTCTGCTCCTCTCAGAGTAATTACAAGGGATAAAGGTTCATCCAGTGTCTGTCCCACTAAAAACCTACGCCGTGTTAATAACCAACGGCTCATCATGTGACTCTGTCTTGTAGGAAGTGAGTGGCGTTACGTGATCATATCCACAGTGTGTTCTCTGCCGAGTGAGGAGATCGAGAGCGAGCCATACGGAGCCTGGCTGTCCAAACACCTGGGCTTCGTGGGCAACCCCAACCAGATAAATGTGGCCATCACCCGGGCCAAGGAGGGCCTGTGCATCATTGGTAAGACTGTGACGTCCTGAATAATAAAACCTTCCTATCAAAGTAAAGCTCACGTGGAGCTTCATAGCGCTTTATGTCGTCTCACAGGTAATCAGGAGCTGCTGAGCTGCAGCAGACACTGGAACAAACTCCTGAAGCACTACACGAGTGTGGGCGCGGTGACACCAGCAGAGGATATCTCCGTCCAACGACAAGGATGAAATGCGTCTGTTTTTTTAAAGAGGCGTGCTGACAGCAGAGCGACCACACTCTCAGCACTCAGCGAATGAAGGGTTTCCATATTTGAAGATTTTTAAAAACATTTTTATATTTTTTAATGAGTTTGAAGGCTTTTTTCTAATGATGCTCTGAATAACATTCCAGTTCGCTGTAAATAAATCATACTACTTTTTTATTAAAGATATCGGAACGTTATAGCTAGGCTGTCAAACCGTTTAACATTTGAATCACCATTAACCGCTAAACGTCAGTAATCAGGATTAATTGCATGTTTGAATTCCATTATTTCACATTTAAAAATAGTTAGGCTTTTATTTTGAAGGTTTGTCCTGTCTTAAACTGAGAGAACTTTACTTGCTGTGTGCTTTTATTTTGAAGTTTTGTACTGTCTTAAGCTGAGTGAACTTTACTCGCTGTGTGCTTTTATTTTGAAATAAAGTAAGGCCCTTCCTGTAGATGGAATGTTAGGACAGGAAGTTGAGGGCCCTTTCCGAATTGTCACAGTTCAGTATGCAGTACGTACTATTCAGTATGGAGTTTCAGTATACTGAACTTTCGTGGTCATTCAGTATGCATTGTTTGGGTCCACCGCAGTATACTGAACATTTCAGTATGGATACTAACTTCCGGGTTTCATGCAGTATGGATCGGATGCGTGCTTTCAGGAAATGAATTGTTTTACCACCCACCCAATGCTGTGCGAAATTAAACATAAATCGTCACTTCACGTCCGCCTCCAAATCAAAACAAACGAGCGTGGATTAATTTAATCAATTTTTAATCTAGAGTTAAAGTCCCGACTGAAATCACTACTTTAAATTAACAACAGAAAATATAACAAATGTCTGCATTATTATAAAAGCTTTCCCCCTCTATTTAAATAATGATTTAACTATTTAAATGTGTCTTTATTGGTTTATTTTACTTTATATTCTGTATATTACTGTCTTTCATTTGTACTTTCCTTTATGTACTGTATGTTGTTTAGTTATTTAATCTGCCTTTTAATTGATTTATATTGTGATATTGTTTTTTGTTTACCTGACTGTATATGCGCATTACTCTTCTTGAATAAAGCTAAAAAAAACGGGTGAATGCGGCCGGTTCGGGAAACGTAAATGACGTCACTTCCATAATGAATGAATCAGAAGAAGTAGGCATAAATATCTGCCTACTGTGTGCGCATACTGAATAGTAGGTACTTACAGTATGCAGCACGGATAGTACATACTGCATACTGCCTACTGCATACTGAAAGATTCAGTATGTACTTGGCAATTCGGATACGGCCAAGGTTTATCAAAGGTCAATTCTCAGGTCATGGCGTTAACTTTTCTTCTAAACTTTCCTCCATTGTTGTCGGTGCTCTCTGGCGTCTCTGATGATGTCACATCCTGTCTCTAGACACAACTCTACGCTGCCCCCAGTGGTTACATGCATATTACATCTCGCAGACGTTTGGGGTTAACCTCTGAGGACGTGCACAAGCAACGCTCCAAACCAGCGCAGGATACGTGTACGAGTAAAAGGAAGTTTACTCACGGTAACATGCAATTCATCAATCGATGTTTTCTTATTGAACGGTGATGAAGAGGTTAACGCTGACGGGCCTTGCTGTAACCTGAATGAAATCTCTCAGGTTCACAGACTGTTGGGTCAATAGATTGAAACTTTTAAACTTTGATATGATTCTATACAATCTCATTATATTAACATCTGTGTGTTACCATGGCAACAACAGTTGTTTTTGATTCGCAATAGTTGCAGGTAAACTGCTGCACAAACGCGTTGTTGACATGTTGTCCCAGACGTTGCCAACGTGTTGTTGAAATCTAAATGGTGTGCAGCAGTTTATCGGCCGCTCTTGATGGACTTCTTCCTCGCCTTCACCGCTGTCTGATGAAGGCGTTTATTCAAGCAGTTCGATTCTGTCAATCACTGGAATGACATATTGTATCGTTGGTATGAAGAGTTTTTATCTTTGCATCGTGTGATTAGATTTGAGATTTACCTGTGAAAGAGAGCGACCCTCTTACTGACCGATGACTTGACGTTAGCTTCGTGTGTTTTTTTTTTGTTGTTGTTGTTGGTATAATTATTTTGAAATGTCGTTTTCAGGGAACGTTTGTATCAGGTGACTTTTTAAGAGATTAAACAAATAATTATACAATCACCTGTTACGAGCTCGTTTTTTGTTGTCTCGTCTGCAGCTCCACCCACTATGACCTCACCAGTAAACAGGAAGTAGAATTACAGCCTTCCTGACTGAACACAAAACTGTGACATGAGAAGCTTCGTGGACTAAAACTCATCAATCAGACGCTTTAATCCAAAGAGGCCAACATCAGAGAGTAAGAACAACAGAAAGCGAGGACACAACGACAGGAAGTACAAACAAACAGCTTTAAGTCTGACCGGACATGACGGAGATGAGCGCTGGTTGGACGGCCGCCCCCCAATGGACTACTGCGGTCAAGCCAGCCTCCACTTCAGATACGATCGTCAAACCAGCCCTCACGCTATTTTAGGTGCATGTGTAGTAGAGGCATAACAGGAAGAGCGCCTAACAAAAGTTTCAACTTAAAATCCCCACTGGCTTGTCTATAGTTTTATAAGTGGATACTTGCTTAAAAAGAAGAAACAACCAGACATTTTGATGATGTTTTGAAAATAAAAGATATCTGAAATATGGAACACAAGGTATATTCAAGGCCTACTTCAATTTGAGATTAAACATAAATGACCTGTTACAACAGACTAATTTAAATCCAGACTGATAGTAGGCCATCTCACAATGTTATTTACCAAATATCAAGACAATCTGATGTAGCATTTCAAAATAAAAGCTATCTGAAATATGAATAAATTGCTATATTCAAGGTTATTTAAATTTGAGATTAAAAATAAATTACCTGTTACCACAGACTCATTATTTCAGAGAGCTTTTATTTATTTATCTCTTTATGAGGCGGTGAACTACCAGTCTGGACTAAAATGAGTCTGTGGTAACAGACTCATTAATTTTTAATGAATGAAACAAGTACTGTCCCCGTTTCTTTGTTTATCTTTTGCTATTCTTCTTCTTCTTGTAATTATTCCAGCAGTTTAGACGCAGCTACGCGTTACTGCCCTCCGCAGGTAGAAGACAGGAACTACTTCATTCTGAAGAAGATATCCTCACGTCAGATCATCGTTTAAATACTGCCTTTCTTTGTAAGCTGTAGTTTTTACATTGTAATAAATAATGTGTCAGTTTCAAATTCGTTAACACATAATAGCCTATCAGGGGGACCTCCTTCCTCTAAAGAACATCAGAGCTGAGTCTGAACCGTCCGGGGATCTGACACCCTCATGCCCAAGGAGGAATTGTTCCGCATTTTACGGCAGGTGGTACATCCGGGTACAGACCGGAAGGGACAATAATCTGCCTTCAGAGTAAAAGTAGAGAATCTGAGGACTAAAAGACGAGTGTGTTGTTGAAGACAGGAACCTCACCGTCTGAAAAACACCACATAAATTATGATCTGACTACCTGACATACATCGACATTAAAGGTGAAGGTTGTCAATTATTCATAACTTGAATCATTACTGTTCGATTGAAGATCGTCACTGTGAGAAATATCTTTAAAGGGTGAACATAAAATATAAAGAACATATAAAATAGAATAAAAATAGGACCAGAGGAGGCGACAATAAAAGTGTTAATGATCCAAAGTATCAGAGAGTGAAGTTTGAATTCACAGATTCAGTCAGATTCTTCACCGTTCTGAAACTTAGTGACGGTGTGCAGGAGGCTCCTGGGACTTTCTTTCTGTTGCTGTGGTAACAAACCCGTTTGAGTTACACCCTTAAAAGTCTGTTTCAATTGACCAATGACAATCATTATTTAGCATTATTAGACCGTGTGCGGGAGTTTTGTTTGATCATTAAATGACCCAACACGCTCAGGGCGCCAACATGTCCGATAGGCCTACTTCTTTACCTTTTGACGTGTGAATAAACGATCTCTGCTTCAGTCATCGTTATTTTAATCATAGTATCAAAAGAAGGAACATGATCTGTTTCATAAGACAGGTGTGAAGCAGAGGAATGAATCGATCCATGCAGGTAAACGGTTTGGGTCTGACTGTCACCATGGCAACGTGCGGTACAAAATGTCACCAACATATTTTTGCAATTTAGACGTGTCTACAACATCAGGTGATTCGGACTTCTGTATTTGTTGCCATGGTACCAGACAGGTGTCAATATCAGATTTTAATTAGAATCGTATCAAGCTGTAAACATCTGTGACCATCTCATATGAAGGGAAGCTGTTAGCACTTTATTAATAATCATAATTTATACTTTATTAAGGATCCTGTGGACATGCACTGATGGAGAGGTCTCAGAGTGGGGGGGGGGGCTCCAGAGCAGATACCAGATACTCTGGTTCCCAACCCGGATCCCTACAGACTGAGCTACAGCCGCACCCCTCTTCAGGTGTTCACTGTTTAAATAAACTGTGTTTCATCCCTTCAGGACTTAATGACTGGGTAAAGAGACCTCTCAGATCCGGATAGACATAAACAACACCACAAGTCTTATTTTGAAGTAATGACCGGAACTTGTCATATCTTAGCCCCGCCCCCTCCGTTCCTCTGTTTCTCACAGTCTAAAAGAACGGGGAAGCTCGCGGTCGCTGCTTGGACAGCATGTCGCTGTTCTCGTACCGGATGTTTAAACCGTGAAGGAGGCTCTTGCGGACGGATGGACACAGGTGCGACAGACAACCTGCGGAGACGCACGAGGAGCGCACGAGCCTGCCGCAGACCACAGCCGGGAGCGCGAGCGGCGGAGGAGTCCGGCGTGCTGCGGAGTCTGAGCGTGGGGAACACGGAAGCAGACCATGACATGGAGGGGGGCTCCGGACTCTGGAAGCAGGACGGCCTGGAGCGGAGGATCATGGCGCCCCGGTACAACCTGCTCCGGGAGGTGGGCAGGGGGTCGTACGGAGTGGTGTACGAGGCGGTGGCGCGGAGGACCGGAGCCAGAGTGGCCGTGAAGAAGCTCCGGTGTGACGCGCCGGAGAACGTGGAGCTGGCGCTGCAGGAGTTCTGGGCGCTGGCCAGCCTGGAGAAACGGCACGAAAACGTGGTTCAGCTGGAGGAGTGCGTGCTGCAGAGGAACCGGGTGGCCCAGAAGATGAGTCACGGGAACAAGCGGTCCAAACAGTACCTGCGGCTCGTGGAGACCTCGCTCAAAGGTGACGTTTACCTGCGCGGCTCGAGCTGAGTCACCTTCAGCTGGCTTCACTGTGACGTCAGCGTTTCTGTTAGGGATCGGATGAGAGCCGAAGTGTGAAGAAAACACTGAAACTTAAGAAAATATCCAGAACCATAAAGAACACATATCGAACACATGTTTAAACACTAGTTAGATTAAACTGCGCGGTTTTTAAACGAGGTTTGGAGCGGTGACAACAAAACTAATTATGAAAACAAAGTTTATATTTGATGTAGGTGATTTATTTAAGTTTACATCAGAGCCGAAGTGTGAAGAAAACACTCACATTTCAGAAAATACCTTAAACCAAAGAGTAGTGTAAAAAATCATCTTTATAAACCCGAATTAAACTAAAGTTGAAGATTTTTAAACGAGGTTTGGAGCGGTGACAACAAAACTAGTTATGAAAATAAAGTTTATATTTGATGTAGGTGATTTATTTAAGTTTACATCAGAGCCGAAGTGTAAAGTAAACTCTCACACTTGAGGAAATATCCAGTAGCAACGAGTACAACATGTCCCCTGGATTTCCACACACACAAATAATATTTGACTATGTTTAAACGAGGCTTCGTGCTAACAAAGCTGGTTTCGGCGGTTTTTATCTGATGTCATCGCTGCTGTGAGGTTTGGATCAGAGCCGAAGTGTCAAGAAAACTCTCACGTTTCAGAAGATACCTTACACCAAAGAGTAGTGTGAAAAATAATCTTTATAAACCCGAATTAAACCAAAAGTTGAAGATGTTTAAACGAGGTTTGGAGCTAACGAAGCTAGTTAGGGCGGATTGAACCGGCTGCTCTCACTCCCACTTCAGGAAATATCCAGTAGCATTGAACACTACGTGTCTTCTTGTTAATTAACCCATCGAATATAAAGTATAGTTTTTAAAAGAGGTTCTGTGTAAATAAAGGGTCTCTCTGCTCGGGGTCAGAGGTTACATCACGCTGCTCGTCATCTTTTTTAGCTAATGAGGGGGGAGGGGGGGGGTGAGGTTGTCTCTCACCAAAATGGAGTCTGTTGAGTTGACTGTCTTCCTTGAACTATTAAACCCTTTCCTCTGAACAGAAGCCAAAAGCAGCATGTGTCCTTAACCATGCAGCAGCTGATCCACCTGTGCTGGTCAGGCAGGTGACGTCACAACAGGGTCGTTACAGTTATCGACCTGTTTGCTGGTCATCGGTACGATCAGTCGTTAGGTTGTCACTTTACCCGATTCTTAAACTGAAAAGCAACTGTGTGTGTGTGTGTGTGTGTGTGTGTGTGTGTGTGTGTGTGTGTGTGTGTGTGTGTGTGTGTGTGTGTGTGTGCTCTGTGTGTCTCTGCTCTGTGTGTGTCTGCTCTGTGTGTGTCTGCTCTGTGTGTGTGTGTCTCTGCTCTGTGTGTGTGTGTCTCTGCGTCTCTGCTCTGTGTGTGTGTGTGTGTCTGTGTCTCTGCTCTGTGTGTCTCTGCTCTGTGTGTCTCTGCTCTGTGTGTCTCTGCTCTGTGTGTCTCTGCTCTGTGTGTGTCTGCTCTGTGTGTGTGTGTGTCTCTGCTCTGTGTGTGTGTGTCTGCTCTGTGTGTGTGTGTGTCTCTGCTCTGTGTGTGTGTGTCTCTGCTCTGTGTGTGTGTGTGTCTCTGCGTCTCTGCTCTGTGTGTGTGTGTGTGTGTGTCTCTGCTCTGTGTGTGTGTGTGTGTGTGTGTGTGTCTCTGCGTCTCTGCTCTGTGTGTGTGTGTGTGTGTGTGTGTGTCTCTCTCTGCTCTGTGTGTAAACCCCTGTTCTCTCTCTCTCTCTCTCTCTCTCTCTCTCCCCCTCCCCAGGTGAGCGGGTGCCCGGTCCTCCAGAGGAGCCTTGTTACCTGTGGTTCGTCATGGAGTTCTGTGAAGGCGGAGACCTCAATCAGTACATTCTGTCACGCCGCCCCGACCAGCGGACCAACAACAGCTTCATGCTGCAGCTGACCAGCGCTGTGGCGTTCCTGCACAAGAACAACATCGTCCACCGAGACCTGAAACCCGACAACATCCTCATCTCGGAGAAGTCTGGCACGCCGGTCCTCAAGGTGGCCGACTTCGGCCTGAGCAAAGTGTGCGCCGGTTTAGGAAACACCGGAGAGGGTAAAAGTGGTGAGGACAAGAACAAAAACATCAACAAGTTCTGGCTGTCGTCGGCGTGCGGCTCAGACTTCTTCATGGCCCCCGAGGTGTGGGAGGGACACTACACCGCCAAGGCGGACATATTCGCCCTGGGCATCATCATATGGGCAATGCTGGAGAGAATCACGTTCATCGACGCCGAGTCAAAGCGCGAGCTGCTCGGCACGTACGTGAGACACGGGGCGGACATCGTGCCGGTGGGCGAGGCATTGCTCGAGAATCCAAAGATGGTTCTGAACATCCCTCAGAAACGCCGCTCGTGCATGTGTGACGGCGTGAGGAAGCTGCTGCAGGACATGCTCGCTGTCAACCCTCAGGACCGGCCCGATGCCTTCCAGCTGCAGGCTAGGATGGACAAGGTGACGTGTGCTGCGTGACCCCGACCTGAGCGGCTACAGGTGACCCTCCCCCCTCTTTACTAACGGGTCAGAAAGACCACGTGGGTCTTCTGTTGTCAGGGTCTGAAGTTTAGTCTGCTTTAAAGAGTCGTACTGAGCATGTGCAGTACCTTATCAGGGCTTGATATTATAACTGGCCCGAATGAATGATTGACAGAGTCCGGGCCAGCTGATTGCACGTTCAGCTGGCTCGCTCGGGCCAGTTAAAATACTGCCTGAAAAAAAATAGACTGTAACACGTTCTCAATTTCACAGCACTTTCTTGTCATACTGGTGTTTTGTGAGTAATTCTTTAAAAAACGTTGCGCTAATAACTGCTACAGGATCAACGTATCACATGTATGTCACAGTTGAAAGGCAGCCGACGGCTTCACTGCTGTCCCTCCCACGAGCGCGCTTGCTACTCTCAAATTGTACAGTCGCACACAGATTTTAGCGCAGGTTTTCTCTAATAAAAAACACGTTTGGTAAAGTGGTTTTAAAACCATCAGATCATTCAGCATTCAAAGGGAAAAAAATCACTGGAAGAGTCGAGAGTGACAGCAGGGCATGACGAAAACAGAACGGAGAAAAGTTTCAGCCACAGTGACAGACAGCTGGAGCTGGAACACGCTGCAGCTAAATTTTCCCTTAAAGTTAAAGACCAGGTCCTGGTAAAGATAAAAGTTATTCACAAAGCATCTTAGCCCTTAAGAGAGCTCCTAAAGAAAAGATCTAAGGATGAAGAGTTTCTCACAGAGAAGAAAGAAGGAGAGAAAGGTGATCATAACAATTCCAGCTCTATCACAGCCTCATATTAATATCAGAGTAAGTAGACTCCCTATAGTTACCAGCATGGTGAATAAACATGAGCACATTAATATTAGAAAAATGCAAAATAGAGCTTAATTAATTAAATAAAAGTTGTAATTGACTTTTGCATCAGAATGGTTGAAGAGTAAATTGGTGACTGTTATTTTTGAAAGCAAAAGTAACGTTCCTGGGCCAGTGATTACAAAGGTCGGGCCAGTGATAGTGGTGGGCGATATAACGATCTTAGATCGTGAAGGATTTTAACTTGCTGGCGATCTGCCAAAGCAGGGAGATCGTAGAACCGGGCTTATGTGTTTATTCTATCATGCTGCAGTTTATGCTCCGACACATATGCTCCCCCCCCTCCTTTTTTGCTCCGCAGGGGTGAAAACGAAAACGAAACTTAAAAGTAGTCCGCAAAAACAACTCCATCCCGGTTATATGCAACTGTTCTGATATTTTCTCAAACCGACACGGCGTGAGCAACAGTTAACTTATCTGCATAGTTTGCACAGTTAAGTTTACATCTCAGATAACGACACAAGAAACTGTTTAATGAGCCGGAGAGACGTTCACAGTGCAGAGAGACAGACTGTCTGTCTGTCAATCAACAATGTCCCGCCCCCTCTATGAATTAAACTCCTCTGTCAGTAAAACTTACTTTGATCATGTGTCACAGAATAAACACATTCTGTATTATGTTTGATTATATATAAACTAAACTGAAGTTAGTCCACTAATGTCATAAAAAACAACAAAGGCTGCAGAGCCTGTATGAAGCTACAGCTGTAGGAACTCTGCAGGGCTAAAATAGAACAGAAACACGAGAACTCGAAGTCTACATGTTTTTAAATGACTGCATCCCTGCGTGAAAATGTTCCTGATGAACATAAAAAGAGGACACATAACTAACTCCTAATTTCAAAGTGGTGAGGAAAACCTTCAAATTGTGCATAAATATTGATCAAATTGAGGGAAAGACATTTCTGTTGCTAAAGATGTTCTGGGTGAGACCTCCTACAAAGATGTTTTTTAAATAGATTAAACTTGTCAGCACAGTTTTCGTGCATTTAAAAACATTATACAGGGAAATAAGTTTGGTTGAACTGGTCAGTAATTTACAAATTTGTCTAAAGATCAGTATGAAAAAAATCGTGATCGTGATTTTGCCCCAAAAAATTGTGATTTGATATTTTTCCCATATCACCCACCTCTAGCCAGTGATCTTTGAAAACTAGTGGCCCGGAGGGCCAGTGGCAAATTGAACCAATTTGTCCAAATGTCAACCCCTGCTTATTGATGACATCACTCTTTGTCTGCTCTCCAGTGGGTGAGGGCCAGGAATGAGGATTATATAAGTAGGGCAAAGGTCAACCCCCCCCCCCCCCCCAGATCAGTCTGAACTGGTTTGAGGCGGGAGATTTACGGTGTTTATTAGGATTGTATGTTAAACTTTGATATGATTCTTGTGATCAAACATTGACACGTGTTAACAGAACAAGCTGCTTTCAACCTCCTGATATTCTCAGTCTGAGTCTGTGAACACAAACAGCTGAATGTTTCTCTCTTCACCCGGAGCTTCTCCTCCAGCATCCTCGTATTTATTCTGCAGAAAGTCAGAGTGAGCTGATGTGAGAACGCAGCAGGATATAATCAGGAGAATTCACCTGGAGCGAGTGGGAGGGGTGGTGACGTTTATTCCCTGTGATCGCTGCACGACCATAGACTGTCTGCACGCCACCTCTACCATCTCCGTGCTCTGAATTATTATTTACATATTTTCAGTTATTTCAACTGACCACTTTTTTTTTCATGTTTAAATGGGCCGCTGGTTATTTCACATTTAAACGGGCTGCTAGTTATATCACGTTGGCGTTTAACAGCTGGTGTTGTTTCTCTGCAGACTGCTGCTGCTTGAAGGCGGAGCCTCGTCCTCCTTTGATGTGAACCCGGAGGAGAAGCAGTTTGTCGTCAATGTGCAGACTTTACAGACGATGGAGGACGCCTTCGTTCAATCAGAAGACAGGAGACAGACTCTGATGTTCACGCTGCTGTGAGATGAATACTTGAATAAGTTCACAACCACCAGATGAGTTCAGACCAAACAGGAAGAGAGCTCTTTTCAAAATAAAGTTGGCTCCATACGAGACTGTTTGAGGGTCCCTCACCGTGTGGAGTCAGAAACATCATGTCTGATATTTAGGATTCCAGATCTCTGACCTGAACAGCCAATGAGAGTGAGCGGACCGGGTGATCGTTTGAAGGTCACATGACCACACGTCCACAGAACTTAAATGACACTATGAACTCGATTTAAACTAAATCAAGACTACGTTTTTAATGTTCATCTTAAACTTCACTGTCGGTGCACGTAGCAGCCATTTTGGATTTAAGGCGGGGTAACAGATGTACGAGCTGCGGGGACAGTGACCCGCAGGTCTGATATTCAGACCGACAGACGGTCCATGAAATGTAGAAAGATGGTGGAAAAAGTTTTAGCCTTCAGCGAGTGCCGAGCGCCATCTGAACTCACCCTGTTTGGACGGCTTTCTCCCCCCAAAGCTCTGTCACTAAGCTCCGCCCTCATCGCGTCTTAGGATGTTCAAATTGATTCTGTGACGGCGTGATATTGGCATCCCGGTCTGTGAGGTCACGGCACAGCGGGAGCTCCACACACACACACACACACAGTTCACACACGCACACAGTTCACACACACACACAGTTCACACACAGCGTCTCTCCTCTGTAACAACTCTGAAGACGGGATGGGACGGGACGGGGGGGGTCACTTCCCCCCTTCACGTCTCCATGACATTCAGACTGAAGGAGACGCGTCACGGGGACGTAGATATGGCGTCTTAAAACGGCGGTCTGAGCGGGGCTTCTGTCGCCTTATTCAAAGTTCGTCTCTTCCTGCTTCAGACGCTCGATAAATCACAAGTTTGTTTGTGCTTTCCACAGTCTGTGACCCTTTAGTGTAAAAGCTGTACGTTTGAGAATCACTCCACGCTGCCTTCAGATGGCGTCTGAGCTGCATGCGGGTCTGCAGGTTAGACGAGGGAGCGGCAGACTCCAGCTGTGATTGGAGGATGGACTGGTCCGTCTCTCGCTCTCTCTCTCTCTCTCTCTCTGGTCAGTCTCAGGCCTGATATTAAACTGTGATAAACGTCTGGATAAAGGGAGAACGGCGTCTGAATGTCGATATCGTTGTCCGGAAACGGAAGTTTAGATCCCGTTCTGTTTTTTTTATCTACCTCATGTTTCTGCACGTTACCCTTTTTTTTTCTTTTTTCTTTTTCTTTGCCGAGCCGTCGACATTCCTCTGAGATGAAACGTCACAGGAAGCGATCGGGGTTTACTTGAATCCTCACTGTCAGATTCTGATGCATTGTGGGAAATAATGGTTTACATAGTATTTTAATGAATGATTGACTTCTGTGACCTTGTTTCTATTTCTTGACCTGAGATATGCTAATGTTCCAGGTGACTTTATTTGAGATGTTGTGATCAGATGATGTGAGGAGGAGAGGCTCCACCTGTATATCTCACAATGTGTTTCTGTACAGGTGTGCACGATGACCTCGCTCTGTTCACCTGTGTCTCAGGATACAGTGTGGAAGTGAACGGGCTGATTGTTCCTCATGCTGCTGGGTCGGGTCGGGTTCAGACGACTTTGAGTTTCTACAGTTACAGTCGTCGTACGTGTTCTTAAAGCCATGTTTGATTTTTCTACTGCTGACTTCGTACATATCAGGGCTGTGCTTCAATAAAGGCTGAAATACCTCAAACCTGTGTCCTCACCTTTATTCACACCTGTGTTCAAACATGATTCCACACCTGTGTTCCATTAGTCCCCATAGAGCCCCACGTTAAAATGTCCATCTTTACTGCTGCAGTTTCTCCAGTGTCCACTAGAGTCTGTCTCCTGCAGTGAGTCAGTCCCCATAGAGCTCCATGTTAAAATGTCCATCTTTACTGCTGCAGTTCCTCGAGTGTCCACTAGAGGATAGAGCCTCAGCTGATTCAGTACCTGACCTTTGACCTCTGGGCCGTGTTTGTGCTGTTGGAGCCTTTTGGAGATTTGTTCCTGTAAATATCAGACTAATAATCTGTCTCTGACCTTTATTGAACTAACAGACGAAGTCTGATCTCCACTTTTTACAACCAGTCACATCAGAACTTTATTTTATTTACATGTTAGCAACAATTAGCAGCTAATCTGACACGGCCAGAGTCTTTAGCATGACCTGGTCCTTCCACAGTCCGTACACCAGGTTTACAGAGTACTCTCTCTTCACAGAGAACATGTAGTACCTGTCTGGGATCAGGTTGGTCACCTGGGTGTTGTACGCCTGGCATTTGGATATACAAATCTGGTCGGTGTCAGAGGTGGTCGGATGGAGGCACATCACCTCCACCTCAAACTGCTGCTCGGGATCCTTGACCTCCTCTCCTGGGATGGTCCAGCTCAGGTGCACAGAGCTGACCGATGAATACGACTCGGACCTGTCGATAGTGACGGGCAGTTTGATGTAGAGTATGGGGATGAGCCGGTCCTGCAGGTTGAGCTGGCCCAGATTACGAAACATTCTGCCCTCAAAGCGGTCTGCGTACTGTAGGGTCTGCTGGAGCGTCTGCTGAGCCGAGTCCGCTGCGCCTCCGTCTAACAAACTCTGATCATACATCTCCATGAAAGCACAGAGCTCCCTGCAGCCCCTCAGGATTTGCTGGAAGAGCGACTCCAGCAGACAGAGGAGGAGCTTCACGTGGGTGTTGGCAAAGGTAAAGGCCCGAGCGAGTCGCTGCTGGTTGATCAGGGTGCCGTCGTAGAGAAAGCGGACTTCCTCCTCCATCTGAGGCCCATCCTCATGCTGGATCTCCAGATAATACGAGCTGTTCTGCAAGAGCGCCAGTTTCTTCTGCCAGTCAAACAAAATGTCAGCATGAGTGTGGATCGTGAGCAGTTCAAAGAAAACAAAAACAAATCAATAGTCTCAAAAGATAACTGAGAAATGGTTTCATGTTTCAAAGAAGATTCGCTCGTACGTCGTGAGCGTACAGTTTGTTCCAGTCCAACTCTGAGGTGAGATTTATAAACCCAGGTAGCATACAGTAGCTGCGGCGGCGCACACAGACACAGCGGCTCAGTGTTCCTTGAAACTTTGTGTATGGGGGCTGTTTGTATTGATGTGTGAGTGGATATGTGTGGGTTTGAGTGAGCCAAAGTTCTCGTACAGTCGAGATGAACTCATAAACATCGGGATAAGGCACCAAATGCCCATAACGAGTGCCTTTCACCACCCACATCGGATCCCAGAGGAAATAGTACAACCACCGGACTCTCCGTGGATCACCCTGCCGGGCAGGAGGCTCCAAAGGCAGCGGAAGGCACGTAAACAGAAGAGGGGGTGCCGGGTGGGAAACCTGGCCAGGCTAAAGAGAGCGCCAAGCAGACCACTGCTACTGAGCTTTTTTGTAGCTACCGCCAGGTCCCTGAGTAACAAAATGGATGAGCTGAGGTTGGAATTATCATCCCGGACAACCACAAAGGATGCCTGCGTGTGACGATTATCACAGAAACCTGGCTTGACCCGAGCGTCCCAGACAACGGTATTGAACTAACTCCACACAACGCAGTGACAGGACCAGGGACTCTGGTAAGAGCCGCGGCGGTGGTTTGTGTGTTTATGTGAATAACAGCTGGTGCACAAATACCACCGTCATAAATCGTCACTGCTCACCAGATGTGGAGTTTCTAGGAGTGAAATGCAGAACATTCTACCTGCCGCGGGAGTTTTCTGTTGTTGTGGTGACAGCCGTTTATATACCACCAGACGCTAATGCTGAGTTAGCACTCGACCACCTGCTAACCGCTAAAACTGAAGCCCACCACCAGAACTGTTGCGACCTGGCCTAAAGACGCATGTCTACAACTGCAGGACTGCTTTGAAAGGACCATCTGGAGCCTTTTCTCTGACCCAGATATAGAAACTTACACCACTACTGTTCTCTGCTATATCAGGACCTGTGTTGAAAACATGACCATCAACAAACGCATCAGAGTTTTCCCAAACAGGAAACCTTGGATGACTTTGGATGACCTTCAGCTGTGCTGAAGGAGCGAAATGCAGCATTCAGATCGGGGGACAGAGAGCAGTACAGCATAGCCAGACACAATCTGAAGAAGGTTATCAAGCAGGCTAAGGCCGTGTTCACACACTCTTTTTTCAACTGCCAGTGCCTTTTTTACATACAAGCCTATGGAAAAATGAAAAAGGATGACACCTTTTTAAAAAGCGGACGCCTTTTCAAAAAGCGCTGCGCCCGACGCCTTTTTCAGTTGAATTATTTCAACTTTTCAGAAAAACGCTGGTGACGTCAAGCGCCTTTCTGACAGCTGACCAATCAGGATGAGTAGTAACCTACGTCCCTAGTTACCTGTGCCCAAAAACGGCAAACTTCCACCAGATATGTGTGCATTGCGTGTCCGCTCCGGTCTGTTATGGGACCGTGCACCCTCATCCGTCAACACCCACCGGCTGTGTTCTCAGTCTGCAGCACAGAGAGCACAGCCGAACAGCTGGAGTATGAAGACAAAGCAATTTCTGCGGTAATTTAACAGATTCACTCACGACAGCACAAGATAACACGATGTTTGTGGTATAAAACTCAATAAAAACCTTATAAACACATAAACAAACACACAAACGGTCGTTTTTCTGAACCGTCAAAACTGAGGGTTTTTTTCTGAAAATAAACCGGATGTTTTAATGTTGTATCGGTGTCTGACTTCCCGTGCTAAATTGATGTGTTGTGCTCTGGCCGGCTGCGGCGCGGTTGCACGGCAGACTAGATCCTGTTGTTAAGGTTACAGAACACTCGCACATAAGCGCTCAAAAGGCACTGAAAGCGGCGCTTTTTTTTGAAAAAATAAGTAAAGTGTGAACACGGCCTAAGGCTACTTACAGGGAGAAAACTGAGGATCACTTCTCCAACGGAGATCCAGCATATGTGTGGAAAGGCATCCAGCACATCACCAACTACAAGGGAAACCAGCAACCACCTCCAGACAACAACACCCAGCTTGCAGAGGAGCTTAATCACTTCTTTGCACGCTTTGATACTTACAGAGAGTGATGATGGAGCAACGCCCCCATCGGGTGCAGCTGAACCCTCTGACCCTACAAACACTCAAGGTGAGAAGAATGTTCAGCACTGTAAATGCCAAGAAGGCTGGGGGACCAGATGGAATCCCAGGGAGAGTGATCAGAGACTGTGCTCACCAGCTTGCTCAGGTTTTCACAGATATCTTTAATCTGTCACTGTCCCAAGCCATAGTACCCACCTGCCTCAAGTCAGCCACAATCATACCGGTGCCCAAACAGAGTAACATCACCTGCTTAAACGATTACAGACCGGTAGCACTAACCCCCATCATCACAAAATGTTTTGAGAAACTGGTCCTGAAACACATTAAATCCAGCCTCCTTGCCAACCTTGACCAACACCAATACGCCTACAGGGCACACCGGTCCTCAGAGGATGCTATTGCCACTGCCCTCCACACAGCACTCACACACCTAGACCTATAGAACTATACACATTCGACTGCACTCCCACTTACATACAATAATCAAATTTGCAGATGACACAACGGTGGTGGGACTGATTTCAGACAACAACGAAACATATTACAGAGAGGAAATAGACAGCTTGACAGACTGGTACATGAACAACAACCTCACACCGAACACTAAAAAGACAAAAGAACTCATCATTGATTTCAGGAGACACCATGAGGACCACACTCCCCTAACCATCAGGGGAGAGGAAGTAGAGAGGGTCACCAACTTTCAGTTCCTGGGGACTTACATCAGTGAGGACCTCACATGGACAATTAACTCTTCTGCCCTGGTTAAAAAGGCTCAACAGTGGCTTTATTTTCTACGCACTCTGAGAAAGAACAACCTGTCCGCAGAGCTGCTCAGAGCCTTTTACCGCTGTTCAATCGAAAGTGTCCTAACATACTGTCTAACAACGTGGTATGTGAACTGTACAGAGGCAGACCGGAGAAGTCTCCAGAGACTTCAGAAAAAATCATGGACTTACCCTGCCCTCTCTGGAGGGCATCTTCAGTACCCGCTGCCTCCGTAGAGCTAACAACATTGTGAAAGATGATACCCACCCCTGTCACCACCTGTTCTCTCTGCTACCCTCTGGGAGGCGCTACAGAGCACTAAAGGCTCGTACCTCCAGACTGAACGACAATTTTTATCCAGGAGCCAACACTGAACTGAACAAAATCAAACACTGACCCACCACGGGACAAATAATGATACAAATAGTGCAATATTGCTTCGACCTGCTTTGTTTACACATTTATTTACAAACTAATGATGATGATCTAACTAATGATGGGTGTGTATGTGTTTGGATACTTTCTACTGTACTTGTGTAGGTATATATATACATGTGTGTATATGTATATCTTTGTTTTTATTCTATATATTTATATTTTTATATTTCAGGCATGGCACAGTAAATTGCGTTGTACTCTTGTGCAATGATAATAAAGTCTATTCTATTCTATTCTAGCTAATGAATATTAGCATACTGACCTCGATGAACAGTTTCCTGTCCAGCAGCTGCAGGATGTGGTCTCGCAGCTCCACCAGGTCCTGGTCCACCTGAGGCAGGTCCCTCTGGTCTCCACTCCGGTCTGAACTGTCCATGTTGACTTCATCCATGACGACTGAAACAACATTCACAGCTGATCACGACGTAAACACAAAGAGGAATGCCATGTTTTTAAGGACAGTTAACACACACACACACACACACACACACACACACACACACACACACACACACACACACACACACACACACACACACACACACACACACACTCCTACCTGTTTCTCTGAGTTTGTTTATCAGGTGTCTTCTTCTGTTTACAGTTAACTTTCAGTCTCCATGGTAACAGTTTGTTTCCACGGTTACAGAATCACAGCAGTGAGTTATTTACTGTCAAAATAAAGAAACTAAACGTCTCCATATGAAAATAAAAACAAAGATGTTTGAAGTAAAGTGGAGGATTATCTGACCATCCGGCCTTAACGATCGCGTCAGGGCCGCCCTGATTTATATCAAACATGTTTAATATTCAGGATTCAAACTCTTGATGATGACGTCATGAAAGGGTCTGCAGGAAGTCGTGTGTGACTCTAATAACCACGAGAGACGAGGGAGGATGGTAGTCATGGCGACCGAGGAGAGGAACGCAGAGGAACGTGTCGATCGCCGATGAACTGAGACCGTGACACGTCCGTGCAACACACTCGCCAGAGAAGCTACGTGACGTCTGCGTCTGCCAGACCTATCCACGTTACAAACTGAAGTTGACAAGCTGCCATTACTACAGTGACATCTGCTTTCCACAGCTGCTGCCAGTTGAAATCATAGACTGTCGAAATGCGAGCTGTCAGGAAGAACCAGCAGAGTTGTACATTTTAGTAAGAGTCGGGACAAACTTTAACTTTAGTATAGCCTATGCAACACACACACACACAGAGAGATACACACACTAACTGTCCGTGCACTGTGATATTTTTCAGATGAGAGATGTGTGTCCTCTCTGAGTGATCTGTATGTTTAGTTATCCATCATGTGATTCATGAAATGATCTCGTTTAACGTTCATCCAGAGAGCATAATGTAATCCTGTGGTAATCACTGATCAGCTGTTTCAGCAAAACGTGCTCACTGATTAGACTATCTATAGAAATGTATTTCATAATGCAAATAATACGTGAGCATGAATCTCTAGATTATGTCAATGAAGCTAACACACGTGTAGAATATCGTTATTTGATGTAATGAGATGAGATGAGATGAGATGAGATTCAACTTTATTGTCATTACACATATACAAGTACAGAGTAACGAAATGAGGTTTGGCATCTCACCAGAAGTGCAAATAAGCAGAAAGTGCAAGAATCTGTGCTATGTACAGTAATTACAAAATTTGCAGATGTAGACAAAAAAAATGTGAATTATTGGGTATATACGGATGGATTAATGGGATGCTATAAATATAAATAAATGCTATAAATATAAGTATATTCTTCAGATTATAATCTACAGATTAAGGTGCAGTGAGCATGCTATACTAGATTACTAGATTACTATTAATATTAGACATCATGTCATCACATACAGTATTATGTCACATCGTTGAGTTTTTTTTTTTAATCATCAGGTATAATCTAAATCATATAAAGATCTGCTCATTAAGGGTCATTCATCAGCAGCTGCCTGACACAATAAACAGAGCGGTAGAGATGCCACCGCAGTACTGGCCGCCACCACAAGGTGTCAGCACCCACAAACTGGCTGTAAGAATTTGTGGAGGTTTTAAAAAGTAGCCTACACATTAATGTTTTCATGTTTAGGAAAACGTTACCACCACAAGATTTTTCGTCTCATTGTAAACACATTAAAACAAGATAAAATAGCAACATTAAACACAATGCTGAATGAATTCAAACTAAACTGAACACAGCAGCAATGAATGAAACCGATTTATCTACTTATACCTGTGTGCATCGAGTCTTCCAGCAGGAGATGAGCTATCCTTCAGACATTATCTTCACTTACCGAACTCCTGGCAGCGCTGCTTTCGAATGAAAAAAAATGTATATATCTTTCAATGCATTTCAGTTTACTATTATTTCTTAATTCCTTGCCAAAGTTCACTACTCAATATTGTCACAGTCCAGAAGAATCACATGCTCTAGTCACTTAAAATGAGGCTCCCTTCCTGCATGTCATTCCCTTCTCTCTCCCAAATGTCTCTCTCTAAACTGTCCTCATTGACATAAAAAGCCCCAAAATAAACCTTCAAAAATATATATATAGAAAGATATATATAAGATTATTTCATTAAACACCTGATAAACCACTAAGCATACAGATCACTTAGAGAGGACAGAAACTACGCATCATTTTTATATTCTCGATACCTCTGTCCTCTGCACAGTGTGTTATGCAACCACAGTAGTGGCAACATGTCGAGAACACACCGGAAATTATGCTGCTCCTTTTCCTTTTTTTTTTTTTACATGGTTGACATCTAAAAAGTTGTATTACCATCTATTTCTCTTTTTTAAAATGTCTGTAGTCGTTCTACTTGTTCACATTTTATAGCCATATATAACAAATAAGAGAAAAAAAATTCAGTCACCATTCCTTAATCAAGGCTTCAGTGTAAAGGCCAAAAGAATGAAAACACAAAACTATTTCTGTTTGTCTCCATAATGACTCAAGTTTAAGCAGACGGGCATATGGACAAAAAACCTTATCAATTTAGTACAAACAAACTAAGAGATATTCTTCCCACAGCACTGCGGTATGATTAGCAATGCTACAAGCAGCTAGTATAAACTTTTAAGTACTGGGCTTTAAAAAATCTAAAGCCATTAACCTGCTTTGATACAAATGACTTCTGAAGATAATGTGCATTGTTGTCATACTAAAGTAGACAATTAGCTCATAATGATTCATAGCGAAAAAGGGGTAAATGAGGGCGGGATGCACGACCATTCAAAAATACTACCAGGTTTCTAATGATACAAAGCTTAATGCAAATGGCTGAAGTATCCCTTTAATGAAGTCCTGTGTCTTTATCATCAGCTGAGATTATAGAGACAGAGATCTGATCCTCCTTGTGTGCCCGGGGAGGACTGAAGATCTTTATAGTTTTATTTTCTAACTCTCGTCTCTTCTGATCTTTAAATAATAAAAATCAGCAGATTAACAAACATAAATAAATAAAGTAATGTCTGCTGGAGGTTTGTTTCCCCCTGGTGGTTAAACGAGTTATCACACCTTTAACATGATAAACTCTCATTTAATAAAACATGTTTACGATCTGTTTGTAATGTGTTTTATTCCCTCTTCAGTCGGTTCTCATGATTCTACTGGCAAACAAACTGAAAACTACGGTGTCCCAAAAAGTCACAGAAATCACCTGCATGCTTTAATTTATAAAAACATGTTTGAGGGTTTGAGTGAAATGGTTTTGCAGTTGACCTCCAGGGCCACCTAGAAAGCAAACAGTGTGTGTGTGTGTGTGTGTGTGTGTGTGTGTGTGTGTGTGTTTCAGATTCTCTGACTTTATTAACTCATGTAGAATATAACGTTTAAAAAAACAGTTTATACAGAAAACATATATGAAATTATTTATATTATTAAAATGTTCACCAAACATTTAGAAAGTTAAATATTTTATTTAAGTGATTTTAAGACGAGAAACCTGGAGAGGAAGAATTTTATCACTTTATAATTTAAAGACTTTTACATTTAAAAAATAGAAAGTTTGAAATGTTTGTGAGTTTTTATTCAACTCCAACAAATCACAGGACGATGTCGGCCTGTTGTGAAAAACTTCACAACATGCCGACGTCGTGATGACGTCACAGAGAGTGACGCTCAGTCAGACGCAGTGAGCGGAAAAGAGTCATTAGTGTAACTGTCCGAGCTGAGGTCCTGCTCTCTCTCTCTCGCTCTCTCTCTCTCTCTGTGTCTGTGTGTTATATTTATGTATATACTGTGTGTGTGTGAGTGTGTTTATACAGTGTGTGAGTGTGGGGGGTCGGAAGAGAACGACCAGACCGTAGAAGAAGAATCTGGTCCGCTATGGGAGCTGTTCTGGGAGCCTTCTCATTGGCCAGCTGGGTGAGTTCTCATTTAAATATAATTATAATTTAAACATAGAGAGCAGCAGCTGATTGGTCTACACCAAACCCCAAAAACCTGCTCATTCAACACCTGAGCGCGTGAGCACAGGGCTGTGATTTAATACCTGAGCGCGTGAGCACAGGGATATTTATGGTTAATTCATAAATCAACAGTTTGATCTTCTTCGAGTCTCATTTCTGTGTCGGTTCTTTCCGTTCTTATCCGTCCTCACTCGGGTTCATCAGGTGATACCAGTAAACCAAACCTCATTCAGAAACCTGCTGATTTAACTCAACAGGTTGTGACGTAACCTGAGCTAACCTGACGGTCATAAATGGCTCGTGCATAAATTAATACTTGTTCGTATTTCAGACATTTCTGATTCGGGTCGGTTTCGTGAAACTGCGTCTCCACTCGGTTTTATCCGGTGAGTCCGGTAAACCAAACTCCATTCAAATATTTACCGATTTTATCTCCACTTTGTCTCAAAAGATTTATTTTTATTTCTAATTAATTCCAGGTCGGAAAATAACTTTTACAGTCCGTTATTGAGACATGCTATATGCCCCACACACACACACACACACACACACACACACACACACACACACACACACACACACACACACACACACACACACACACAAACAAATAAACCTGTGAACATGAAGACAGTGTGTGTGTGTGTGTGTGTGTGTGTGTGTGTGTGTGTGTGTGTGTGTGTGTGTGTGGGGGGGGGGGGAGGCAGTGCTCCAGAACCCCTTAATGATCAGGTGTCTGCAGGTTCTTTCATGTAAAACAATCAATGACCCCCAGGTGTCTTGGACTTCTGTTTTTGTTACCATGGTAACTAACAGGTATTGTTTACTTTGAACTAGAAACATTTTGGGATCATAACAAGCCGCGGTGTGGTACAGGAACATGAGGCTTAGTGTTAAACAGAGTGGAGGCTGCAGGGATGTAAAGGGTTAATCATAATACAGCAGGTCATCTGCTCACACGTGATCAAATGGATTAACTCTGCGTGTTCCACCACTCAAAACAAAGCACGCCGTGTTTCACTGCCAGCAGACCATGGAGGATGTGTGGAGAGGACTTCCTGTCAGCACCATGTGCTCTGCCTCTGGTCACTTCCTGGCCCTTTCCGAATTGTCACAGTTCAGTATGCAGTACGTACTATTCAGTATGGAGTTTCAGTATACTGAACTGTCGTGGTCATTCAGTATGCATTGTTTAGGTCCACCGCAGTATACTGAACATTTCAGTATGGATACTAACTTCCAGGTTTCATGCAGTATAGATCGGATGCGTGCTTTCAGGAAATGAATTGTTTTACCACCCACAATGCTGTGCGAAACGTAAATCGTCACTTCACGTCCGCCTCCAAATCAAAACAAATGAGCGTGGATTCATTTAATCAATTTTTAATCTAGAGTTAAAGTCCCGACTGAAATCACTACTTTAAATTAACAACAGAAAATATAACAAATGTCTGCATTATTATAAAAGCTTCCCCCCTCTATTTAAATAATGATTTAACTATTTAAATGTGTCTTTATTGTTTATTTTACTTTATATTCTGTATATTACTGTCTTTCATTTGTACTTTTCTTTATGAAGGCTACTGTATGTTATTTAGTTATTTAATCTGCCTTTTACGTGATTTACATTGTGATATTTTTTTTTGTTTACCTGACTGTATATGCGCATTACTCTTCTTGAATAAAGCTAAACAAAAAAAAAAACGGGTGGATGCGGCCGGTTCAGGAAACGTAAATGACGTCACTTCCATACTGAATGAATCAGATGAAGTAGGAACAAATATCTGCCTACTGTGTGTGCATACTGAATAGTAGGTACTAACAGTATGCAGCACGGATAGTACGTACTGACTACTGACAGATTGAGTATGTACTTGGCAATTCGGATACAGCCCCTGTCAGCACCTGTGCTGTGCCTCTGGTTACTTCCTGTCAGCACCTGTGCTGTGTCTCTGGTCACTTCCTCTCAGACTTGAATCTGTTTTTTTTCACTTCCTGTCGTCGTCTCCTCCTCTCCTCTCTCTCTCTCTCCTTGTGTTGTTCTGACTCTCTGATGTTCGTCTCTTTGGATAAAAGCGTCTGAATAATGCATTGTAGAATTGTTACATGGTCTTACATCGTGTCACTGAAGAAGACTCCCACAGTGACCTTCAAGAAGATAAATCTGTGTCTTCCTCTCAGCTGATGGCGTGCTCCTGTTTGTCTCTAATGGAGAGCGGCGTCCTCTCTGTATGTGTGTCACAGCCGGTCATGTGCTGCTCCAGTTATCACAGCGGATCAGTCATGAACTGAGGTGACCTCGTCTGGCTGGCGGAAGAATTAACTTGTTGTTGACTTTGATTCTTTACCTCCTCACTGTGACACAGAGAGGTGGGGGCTGACAGGTGTGATGTGTGTGTCTGCAGGTAGAGACTTACAGGTGTGATGTGTGTGTCTGTAGGTAGAGACTTACAGGTGTGATGTGTGTGTCTGTAGGTAGATGCTGACAGGTGTGATGTGTGTGTCTGCAGGTAGATGCTGACAGGTGTGATGTGTGTCTGCAGGTAGATGCTGACAGGTGTGATGTGTGTGTCTGCAGGTAGATGCTGACAGGTGTGATGTGTGTGTCTGCAGGTAGAGACTTACAGGTGTGATGTGTGTGTCTGCAGGTAGATGCTGACAGGTGTGATGTGTGTGTCTGCAGGTAGAGACTTACAGGTGTGATGTGTGTGTCTGCAGGTAGATGCTGACAGGTGTGATGTGTGTGTCTGCAGGTAGAGACTGACAGATGTGATGTGTGTGTCTGCAGTTAGAGACTTACAGGTGTGATGTGTGTGTCTGCAGTTAGAGACTTACAGGTGTGATGTGTGTGTCTGCAGTTAGAGACTTACAGGTGTGATGTGTGTGTCTGCAGGTAGATGCTGACAGGTGTGATGTGTGTGTCTGCAGTTAGAGACTTACAGGTGTGATGTGTGTGTCTGCAGGTAGAGGCTGACAGGTGTGATGTGTGTGTCTGCAGGTAGAGACTTACAGGTGTGATGTGTGTGTCTGCAGGTAGATGCTGACAGGTGTGATGTGTGTGTCTGCAGGTAGAGACTTGCAGGTGTGATGTGTGTGTCTGCAGGTAGAGGCTGACAGCTGTGTGTGTGTGTCTGCAGGTAGAGGCTGACAGGTGTGTGTGTGTGTGTGTGTGTGTGTGTGTGTCTGTAGGTAGAGACTTACAGGTGTGTGTGTGTTTCTGCAGGTAGAGGCTGACAGGTGTGTGTGTGTGTGTGTGTGTGTGTGTGTGTCTGCAGGTAGAGGCTGACAGGTGTGTGTGTGTGTGTGTGTGTCTGCAGGTAGAGGCTGACAGGTGTGTGTGTGTTTCTGCAGGTAGAGACTGACAGGTGTGTGTGTGTGTGTGTGTGTGTGTGTGTGTGTGTATGTGTGTGTCTGCAGGTAGAGGCTGACAGGTGTGTGTGTGTTTCTGCAGGTAGAGGCTGACAGGTGTGTGTATGTGTGTGTGTCTCCAGGTGCCGTGTCTGTGCAGCAGCGCCACCTGTCTGCTGTGCAGCTGCTGTCCGAGCACCAGGAACTCCACGGTGACCAGGATCGTGTACGCCTCCATCCTGCTGCTGGGGACCATCGTGGCCTGCATCATGCTGTCGCCGGGCGTGGACCGCCAGCTGAGGAGGGTATGAGAGGAGGACCTCACAGAGACATGAAAACCCATCATTAACACAAACACAGAAAGAGGAAGTAATTATGTTACACAGGTGTTCATGTAGCCAATGGGAGCTAACGCTACACAGGTGGGACTGATGAGGGGCGGACTGATGAGGGGCGGACTGATGAGGGGCGGACTCGACCTCAGATAAGAGGAGGATAATGGTTAAGCTTTAAGATCATTTTTAACACGTCAGTTAAACGTGTAAACATAT